CTATGAGGGAAATATTTATGGTTTCACACACTCTTCCAATTTTAGTCATATTTGTATAACGCTTTCTTTCGGGGGATATTTGTTTGTGTAGATGTAGTATTTGTATATCACCTACCTATGAGGGAAATATCTATGGTTTCACACACTCGTCCAATTTCACTCAGTTTTGTATAACGCTTTCTTTCGGAGGATATTTGTTTGTGTAGATGTAGTATTTGTATATCACCTACCTATGAGGGAAATATTTATGGTTTCACACACTCTTCCAATTTTAGTCATATTTGTATAACGCTTTCTTTCGGGGGATATTTGTTTGTGTAGATGTAGTATTTGTATATCACCTACCTATGAGGGAAATATCTATGGTTTCACACACTCGTCCAATTTCACTCAGTTTTGTATAACGCTTTCTTTCGGAGGATATTTGTTTGTGTAGATGTAGTATTTGTATATCACCTACCTATGAGGGAAATATTTATGGTTTCACACACTCTTCCAATTTTAGTCATATTTGTATAACGCTTTCTTTCGGGGGATATTTGTTTGTGTAGATGTAGTATTTGTATATCACCTACCTATGAGGGAAATATTTATGGTTTCACACACTCTTCCAATTTTAGTCATATTTGTATAACGCTTTCTTTCGGGGGATATTTGTTTGTGTAGATGTAGTATTTGTATATCACCTACCTATGAGGGAAATATTTATGGTTTCACACACTCTTCCAATTTCACTCAGTTTTGTATAACGCTTTCTTTCGGGGGATATTTATTTGCAGAAGTATTTCTTGTATAACACCTACCTAATAGAGAAATATCTATGGTTTCACACACTCGTCCAATTTCACTCAGTTTTGTATAACGCTTTCTTTCGGAGGATATTTGTTTGTGTAGATGTAGTATTTGTATATCACCTACCTATGAGGGAAATATTTATGGTTTCACACACTCTTCCAATTTTAGTCATATTTGTATAACGCTTTCTTTCGGGGGATATTTGTTTGTGTAGATGTAGTATTTGTATATCACCTACCTATGAGGGATATATTTATGGTTTCACACGCTCGTCCAATTTCACTCAGTTTTGTATAACGCTTTCTTGCAGGGGATATTTATTTTCAGAAGTATTTCTTGTATAACACCTACCTAATAGAGAAATATTTATGGGTTCACACACCCTTCAGATTTAATTCAGCTTTGTATAACGCTTTCTTTCGGAGGATATTTGTTTGTGTAGACGTAGTTCTTGTATAACACCTACCTAATCGAGAAATATTTATGGTTTCACACACTCTTCCAATTTCACTCAGTTTTGTATAACGCTTTCTTGCGGGGGATATTTATTTGCAGAAGTAGTTCTTGTATAACACCTACCTAATTGAGAAATATTTATGGTTTCACACGCTCTTTCAATTTAACTCAGTTTTGTATAACGCTTTCTTGCGGGGGATATTTGTTTGTGTAGACGTAGTTCTTGTGTATCACCTACCTAATAGAGAAATATTTATGGTTTCATACAATCTTCATATTTTACTCAGCTTTGTATAACGCTTTCTTTCACCTACCTATGAGGGAAATATTTATGGTTTGTTTTGTAGACGTAGTTCTTGTATATCACCTACCTAATAGAGAAATATTTATGGTTTCACACACTCTTCCAATTTAACTCAGTTTTGTATAACGCTTTCTTGCAGGGGATATTTATTTTCAGAAGTATTTCTTGTATAACACCTACCTAATCGAGAAATATTTATGGTTTCACACACTCTTCCAATTTCACTCAGTTTTGTATAACGCTTTCTTGCGGGGGATATTTATTTGCAGAAGTAGTTCTTGTATAACACCTACCTAATTGAGAAATATTTATGGTTTCACACGCTCTTTCAATTTAACTCAGTTTTGTATAACGCTTTCTTGCGGGGGATATTTGTTTGTGTAGACGTAGTTCTTGTGTATCACCTACCTAATAGAGAAATATTTATGGGTTCACACACTCTTCCAATTTCACTCAGTTTAACGCTTTCTTGCGGGGGATATTTGTTTGTGTAGACGTAGTTCTTGTGTATCACCTACCTATGAGGGAAATATTTATGCTTTCACACGCTCTTTAAATTTTACTCAGCTTTGTATAACGCATTCTTTCGGAGGTTATTTGTTTGTGTAGACGTAGTTCTTGTGTATCACCTACCTAATAGAGAAATATTTATGGTTTCACACGCTCTTTCAATTTAACTCAGTTTTGTATAACGCTTTCTTGCGGGGGATATTTATTTGCAGAAGTATTTCTTGTATAACACCTACCTAATAGAGAAATATTTATGGGTTCACACACTCTTCCAATTTAACTCAGCTTTGTATAACGCTTTCTTTCGGAGGATATTTGTTTGTGTAGACGTAGTTCTTGTATATCACCTACCTAATAGAGAAATATTTATGGTTTCACACACTCTTCCAATTTCACTCAGCTTTGTATAACGCTTTCTTGCGGGGGATATTTATTTGCAGAAGTAGTTCTTGCATAACACCTACCTAATTGAGAAATATTTATGGTTTCACACGCTCTTTCAATTTAACTCAGTTTTGTATAACGCTTTCTTGCGGGGGATATTTGTTTGTGTAGACGTAGTTCTTGTGTATCACCTACCTAATAGAGAAATATTTATGGTTTCACACACTCTTCCACCAATTTTACTCAGTTTTGTATAACGCTTTCTTGCGGGGGATATTTATTTGCAGAAGTATTTCTTGTATAACATCTACCTAATAGAGAAATATTTATGGGTTCACACACTCTTCCAATTTAACTCAGCTTTGTATAACGCTTTCTTTCGGAGGATATTTGTTTGTGTAGACGTAGTTCTTGTATATCACCTACCTAATAGAGAAATATTTATGGTTTCACACACTCTTCCAATTTAACTCAGCTTTGTATAACGCTTTCTTCCGGGGGATAATTGTTTATTTGCAGAAGTAGTTCTTGTGTATCACCTACCTAATAGACAATTATTTAGGCTTTCACACGCTCTTTCAATTTCACTCAGCTTTGTATAACGCTTTCTTTCGGGGGATATTTATTTCCAGAAGTATTTCTTGTATAACACCTACCTAATTGAGAAATATTTATGGTTTCACACACTCTTCCAATTTCACTCAGCTTTGTATAACGCTTTCTTTCGGGGGATATTTGTTTGTGTAGATGTAGTATTTGTATATCACCTATATTTATGGTTTCACACACTCTTCCAATTTCACTCAGCTTTGTATAACGCTTTCATTCGGGGGATATTTATTTCCAGAAGTATTTCTTGTATAACACCTATCTAATGGAGAAATATTTATGGTTTCACACATTCTTCCAATTTAACTCAGCTTTGTATAACGCTTTCTTGCGGGGGATATTTATTTGCAGAAGTATTTCTTGTATAACACCTACCTAATTGAGAAATATTTATGGTTTCACACACTCTTCCAATTTCACTCAGCTTTGTATAACGCTTTCTTTCGGGGGATATTTGTTTGTGTAGATGTAGTTTTTGTATATCACCTACCTATGAGGGAAATATTTATCGTTTCACACACTCCCTTCCATGTTCTCAGTTTTTGTATGTTTTCTTACGGGGCACATTTGGTTATGTGTGGATGTAGCTCTTGTGTAACACCCACTTCAAAGAGAAATATTTCTGGTTTCATACGTTCTTTTTAAATTTCAGTTTTTTACATCTGTTTTGTTAGACCTGCCAATTTGAGAAATTGTTTTAACACTCTTCACATAACACGCAGTTTTGTGCAACACCTAGGATTATGTTTCACACAGGCTCTATGATTTAATATTTATATTTTCGGATTCATATCGTAATGCATTTTAAAACAATGTAAAATTTGTATATTTTTTCTTTCGTAATTGACGATGTTTCCCTAAGGGAAATTTTGGATTTACTGACTATTGGTGTTATATTTCTATTGAACTTAGTTTCAGTGATATTTATTTATAATTTTACAGATGATATTTGTTGTGTGTGCTGCAAAATTTCGAGAATCTGAATTGATGATAAAGAAAACAGAAGAGTGTGGACCCATTTAAAGCTGGCAACTGAATGGTGTTGTAATTGTTAAAAAGGCAGGATCAGAGTTTCCTTGTGGAAGTTAACGGGAACAGTTTGTAGAATTTTATAGCATTTTTCAGATTGATGTGCAGTAATTGTGGTTTCTGTTTAAGTATTCGCGGAAATTTTCCAATATATTAAGTAAGAACATGTGATGGTTGTAGTTTTATTGTTGTGGCTCTATTTCTCTTCGAAGTTTGCGATGACGATTGTAAAGATTGTTGTATTGAAACTTAAAATTTCTCCAGATGAAAACAAAAATTAGGAAAAGGTAACAAATTCTCATTTAGCTTCGCGAATCGGATTTAGACATTCAAATAATGCCAAAAAAAATTTGAGTATAAAATTCGAAAGTGTATCCAAATAGTAATATATGTTGACTTTATTCAACCAATGTATAAGTATTTCGGAAAATACATTATGGCTAGGATACGTTCACCGGAGATAATTCAAAAAAAAAAAAAAAAGAATTTAATCATGTAATTTTTCAAATAAGGTTCATAGATTTGTGCCAAGATTGAATTAATCTATAACATGTATCTATAATATGTAGTGCTATGACCGCTTAAGTATTTGTTATACACTGATAAAGATTGTTTCTCCCTCATAATTTTAATCATAAGTCTAGAGTTAAATGTCCTCAACATCATATATAAAAATATACGAAATATTGATTATATTTTAAGTTACTAAATTTTGTTATTCTTCATATTTATAACTGTCGTTGAGATCTTTAAGATATTTTACGTTTTGTTCTAAATAAACCTGCGTAGATGTGGGTGGCTTCCTGAGATTATGTTAACCTGTGGGTTATTTAGGTCAGTGTCCCTTCCTCCGCTTGTATGGTGATTGGACTGAAATTTGTTTAGAATTTTAACTTAAAATAAAAATATTGCGAACAATTGTTTCGAAATTTATTGGTCTCAGATTTCTTTTATTCTTTTTTTTGATTGTAGCTTCTTTTCTGTTTGGTGAGCTCTCTTTTTCTTTTTCTTTTTCATTTTCGTATTATTTTTTTCTTCTCATTTTCTATTACTGAATTGGACAATTGTAATTACAAAAATGGACACAAGTTTTCTTAAATCTTGGATATGTACAAAAACAGAAGAAATAATTTTTGTATTTTTTTTTTTTACAGTTTCAGGTATTTCAAGAACTTAAGCCACGCTTGTCGTGTACTTGTAAATGTTTAAGTTAACAACAAAGAAAAAAATATATTAAGTAAATAACAAGAAAGATGTATCTTATAATTTGTGCTTTGTGAAACGAACGAGCAATCGGTTGCTACTCCAGATACTAGATATGTGTATATCGATCGTTGTCAGTAGTGTTGTATCTATTTGATCAGTATTGAGATAACGGTTCGATGGTAGGTAAATAAGAGACGACCGTTTATATAGTACATATGTAACTGGGCGCCTTTCTTTTGAACAAGTCTTAGTAGAGCAGAGAAGTCGATACAGGTTCCTATATATATTCAATCCACGCAATCACAATCTGATAAAAACGACGATTAGTACCCCTGTGTAGGCCGCGACACACACACATTTAGTCGCAGTTTAGATATACTCTCACGGCTACATGGGACCGAACAATCAGCATTTTTAGCTAATTGTAAGGCCTTTTCTCACGTATTGCGTTCAAGTTAACATCGTTCGATCGCGTATCAACTTTCAACGCCCAACTATAAAGTTTAGAGAAAGAAATACATATTGCTTGGTTAAAGTGTATAACAATTATCAAAGTGACAGTTTATAAATAAGATTAACACTAGGGTTTAAACGGCTAAAGAACTTATGATTTAGTTATTAAGAGATGTGCCAATTATAAGCGACAGTTTGAGAAAACTGTCTCAAGTAGATGTAGTCTTATACTTATACGTATACGTATAGAGAAAGAGATGGAAACACACAAATACATTGTAAGACAAAGGTGGGTCGAACAACTCACCACGAGGCGAGTTTATCGCGCAGCTGCCATGCCACGCAACGGCATGTAAGCGCAAGTGCAAGCGAGAGAGAATACGTGTATACGAGATTTATATATATGTACATGCAAATACAATGCTATTTATTGTTAGAGCAGGCCAGCTGCTCTCCTTTCAGGGGATTAAACAAAGAACAGTCGAGAATTTACTCGAAATGGCCGAAAGATAGATGGGAAGACATGGCTTTGCATGGGGTGGAAATAGTGCTAGAAGCTTCGAAAAATTATTTTACGCAATACAAAATTACGAATGAATTACACAATATTCGCTAATTTCAGAGTATAAACGTTTACTCGAAAAACAAAAATTACGCTGACGTCAGGCTTGAAAACGTTTTAAATTGCATATAGTTGAGTAATAAAACTAGGCCTTATGCTTAGATTTTCGCTTACGTATAATAAGGTACGAAGCTGGTTTCGCCGTTTCGGTTTATACCTGGCTTCCTAACTCCAAACTCCTTAAGTCCAGGTCAGGACAACATACACTCCGGGATCTGGCTAGTCTTTCCTGCCTCATCAATTTATCGCAAACTCCTGGCATCTGCCTCAGCCGCCTACAGTGCAATTTTTCTAGCCAAATGTTGAAAAACTTGGCCGCTGCTTTCGTGTTGCCCCAATTTCCTCAAATGCAAAAACGCCCGAAAACTGCCCACGACGATGAAGAGCAGATTTTATTTTCTTTGTTCACATCAAAACAGCTTGAACGGTGCGCTAGCAATTATTTCAGTCGACGTGACATATTATAGCTCCGCAATCTCGCCTTCGCAACAAATACTGTACACTTCTCCATTGCAGTTGTATATTATTTATGTAGAACAATGCAAAACAGCACTTATCCAGAAATATATTTTATTCTTCAAACAGTTTTAAGTTTCACTAAAGAACTTCACTTCAACACTTATTTTTTTCGAATGACTGCAGTCCAGGCAGTCACCTTTATTTATACCTAGCGGCAGCTGTCTTCTCGACGATTCGAGAGAAATCTATTTGTCTCCCTTGTATGGCCTACAATTTTATCAAAGGAGTGAGTGAATACACTGCTGAGTGTTGCCTACGTGATTCACTTCATCGTATACTCTTGACAAACACATATATTTCTTTTATAGAGTTGACTACATTCGGGGATGGTTATATGCATATGCAAAATATATGCATATATATGTCAAACATATACATATATTGTTTTGCTTAAGTTAAACATGGTTATTAATTAAGGCTAAGGAATCCCATAGACAATTTACGACATACACACATATGCATGTTGTTTTTAATGTATAAATGATGTTGCCAGATTTTTATTGTGCGAGTGAGATGGCAATACACACTCTCATAGACATGCCAGACCTGTGTTCTTGAAATTTCTACCAAATTCAAGCGCGTCATTCGAATGTGTTCAAATCTGTTATACTGTACTGATATCATTTTTATAGTTATACTTTAACGTATTCTAGCACATCGTATATTGAATATGCAAAGAAAAAATTGTATTTTGATATATTAAGCCAATTTTAAAATAATACTATAAAATAATAGGATAAAATATATAATATATCTTAATACGATTTTTAATAATTATTATAAAAATTCTTGGCTAGTCAAAATTACATCATGGTCAAATGAAAATGTTGTGAAAGATAGCAAAATTTGCGTATTCAAAATTTTGGTAGCAATCGAATCTCAAAAGTTTTCCGTTAAGACAAAAGTCGTCGACGAAGTCGTTTGAATATTACCTAACGTTTTCATCAGAATCCAACCATTTTCGCACAGTGTAGCTGTCAGCTTCGCATTGTTTGTGTGTGCTGAACCAAGCACAAGGTTTTTGAACCTTTGCGTGGCAGAGCAGGAAAGCCAGCTGTTGGCTGAGAGCGCGCGCGCATTCTATGCTTCACGCTTCAAGCAGGGTGTGAATTCGCTCTCACTCTCCCTCTCATTCAGAAGTTCTCGGTCTCACTCTCACTCTTTTTGAGTGAGTGTTTTAGCGCTTTGAGTGGATTTGAATGTGCTAAATATGAATGCTAACGAGCTAAGCAATAAACAAAACTGAAACTTCACAACTGCTGTTAAACTTTAAACAAGAAGAGGAATAATGAAGAGGGGAGTGAGAGAGGTCAAAGTTGGAGCGGGAATTGCTGACCCAGGCTTAAATCAGCTTTATGCAACTTATGCGAATGTCCTGGACGGAAGGCGCATTCGCTAAAGGAAATATAGCAATAACGCTACGGTTCGCTTTGGAGGGAACCCATTCGAATAACGGCAATTGGCAGGACAAGCACAATGATAAAGACAGAGCTTTCGGAAATTGCGTATACGCCATGGGCGCCCGTGTGTAACTGCAATGATGGTAGATAAGAGGCTGCCAGTCCGCCTGGCTTGTTGCTTTTGTTTTGTTTCCTGCGGCAGTGCAACAATTTCAACAGAAACTGACATACACACACACCCACACCTACGCACAAGCAGCTATACACGCCTACACCTACACACATATAAGCGCACTCCCACACAAAAAGAAGGAAAACATTCAAATGGCATAATAAACGTATTTACCAAAGAATAGGCCGCAACAACAGCATGCTTTATTATGAGCCTCGCACAGAGCCTGGTTAAGTAAAGTGTTTTGTTTTGCCATCTGAGCTGAGCTCGGGGCCTTTCACGCGCGTTCCCTGACATTTTGCAATTGTTTAACCTTGGTTATTGCCAAATGTAGTCCTTCAATTTTTGAGCCTACAAACTTGTATGTCGACCGAATTGCGAAAGCCAGAGAAAAACAACAAATGTTGTAGCATAACTCTGTCAATGCATTTGAGGGCCATTCCCAATTTATACACTGAGAAAAAGAAAGGGCATATCCTTACCAACTTTTTAAGTTAAAGGTACAATAAATTTAATTTCTAAGCAATCATGTTAGTCAACCATCAGAAGATCTCATACAAAACTATGCTCCTTATATATTCCATATACTGCTTTGCTCCATTTAACATTTTCTCTTTATTTAAATGAATTATATGAATATATGAATATATATATATATGAATATTATTTGACTTGATATTTTCTTAGTATTAACAATTGTGTGGAGTTCATGTTGGTTCTTCGCCTAGGGAAATTCGTAGTATTTGTAATTTTTTGAGTGTATGTAGGCGACAAGGACAACAAGTCGCCTACACACACACGCACACACCCACTCTCTCACACACACACACACGCATACCCACTCGAAATTGAGCGCTTATACACATTGCTGGCAGCTGTCGGCGGGCGCGGTTTGGCAACAGGGACCTACATTCAGTCGTTTTTCCACTTCGGCTCTGTTAGCATGTCTCTTTGTGTGCGTGTGTGTAAGGCAGATAGGACTCTGATTGTCACAAAAGCGAGCTGGCCGTGCAGCATTTGCAGCAGTGCCCAACCAGACACCAAGCCGTGCGAAGCTTGCGCGACTCGCGTTGCAAAGAACCAACGAATATTAAAAAGGTCGAGCGTTTAACACGGAAACGAACACGCGTGTGTGTGTGTGTGTGTGTGTGGGTGTAAGCGTGTGTGCGTGTGGGAGTCTGTGCATGCCACTTAATTGTATATGTGTTGTTGTTTGTGTTGGAGTTGCGAAGTGTTGCAGTTAACCTTTAACCCAAATGGAGCCTGTGTCTTAATTAGTTTGTCTTCGCCCGTAAACGATTTGTCAACAGCTTGTTGTTATTGTTGGTGCTGTCGTTGGTGCAAGGACTGCTAGGACGCCACCGAGCACACACACAGCATGTAAGCACTATTTAATGTGAGGCACTTTTGCGCTGAGCGTATTGGCATTCCACTAATGGGTCTATTGTCCGCCTGTTGGCACACCCCACGCAGAAAATGAAACACAAAAACTGAAAAAAATGAAGCGAAAAAAGTGAAGCGAAAAAAATGATCGAAATAAAATTTCTTTATATATTTATGTGTTTTTTCTATTTTATTTTGGCACTTCATCAAAGTGTTTCGTGCTTTTGGCACTTCTATTATTTTTTGTCCATTAGTTCATTTCGGTTTTCTGTGACTTTTTTCACGCAGTTGGCACGCCTCGTCTGAGGTCAAAGTGCAACAAGAATAATCGCAATTCAATTAGTTAATAACAGTTGGCTGCGCATGTGTGCGTGCTGTGGCCATGTCCCTGTCCCTGAGCTTCAGCCTCCGCCTCCACCCCCGCCTTCTCTAGTCACCAGCCTATGTCACGCCCACATTTTTGGGCGCATCGACTGGTACCTAGCGAGATGCAATGAGTCCAGGGCACCCAGCATTTGGCCTTATCTAAAATATGCACACAAGTCCTTGGGGCACTCGTAATGCCAGCCCAAGGCAACGCCAGCTGACGAACAACCCGAATAACCCAATACCCGACCATAAGAAAAACAACAACAACAGCAACAACATTAGCAGCACCAACAGTAACAGCAATAACAACTCATTTCATAGGTGCAATCGCAGCTTTAGTATGCAGTTACAAATATTTTGCACAAAAAACTGCATATCAACCTTGGCGCGCGAGAACAACAGCAACAACAATGAACACACAAATTAAAAAAGCTTTTGTCGAGAATAAACTGCTCAGAATTACCCTGTAAGCGGGTTAATATGCCAACTACTTTCATTTGCATTTGATCAACAATTTCGTGATGTAAATTTGCGAAAGACTTGAATTTTTGCCCGAATCAGTAGATATGTAGAAAGATATATTTGTATAGATTGCCAGAATCTATCTGCCTGTCTGCATAATATTTTACCTATTTTTATTAACTTTACGTTTCGGTACAAAAAGTAAAAGACTTTGAGTCCATAATCATGTTTTGAAATCTATATTTCTTATAAGGAAAATATACATTTTAAATATCAGCTTTTGCTACGTAAGCTATATAGCTTATCATCATATGATGATAATGCTTAGCTATATATAGCTATATTAACTGAACTGCTCATATCGTTCAAGAACATTTATCCTGTCTAAATTTCCAAGCAAGCAGTATACCCTGTTGTAAGATATCCTCTATATGCCACACACACACAAACTTGGTTGTGCTTGAATTTAACTGAATGTTGTATAATTCGCTACAGCCACGAAAATATCTACATATCCAAGCAAGAACCCAACTGCAACTCGAACTCCAACTCGAACTCAAAGAACGAACCATTTATATACGTACATATATATATATTTTTTTGTGAGCACAATATGCCAAGTGACGCCAATTTTATAGACTTTTTATAAGAACAACAACAGCAACAGCTGAAGCTACAGCGACAGCAACAGCAACAATAGGAACAGAAATAGTTAAGAAATATAGCATATATTCGACATTAATCTGAGCCAGATTTAGCTGGAGGATGGCAATTCGCAAACGTAAGCATAGAAGCCATATAGCTGGCGACACGTCGACGACAACGGCAGCGGCGGCAGCAGCAACAGCAGTGGCCGCAGCAACAACAACGGCAGCTATAACTGACAGCAGAGCTGCCACGCCCACGGCCGAGGCGGTTAGGTACTGGCAAAGTGAATTACTGTCGAATGCCAGCGCTAATAATTTCACGCATAATTTCTTGGATTTGCAAAATCTCTTGAATTTCAATGAGGCTGCCACCAACAGCAGCAGCAGCAACAACAACAACAACAACAACAGCAGCAGTGACAACATTATTGTTGCTGCCAACTTGTCAAGCACATCGAGTGCTATTAAATTGACTAACGGCTCCATTACGGACACTCTTTTGGGCACCATCTTAACAACGGCAACGGCCACAGTGGCGCCCGCTGCCAGCTCCTTGATTTCGAGCATTGCTGCCACAACAACAAGAGCAACAGCGGCAGCAACAACAGCAACAGCTTCAATAAGCACTTCCCATTTGGCATTGGTCAACGATGCAACCTCATCCACCTACTATGCCAGCTTGCTGAACATGTCTCCGGCCACGACGAGCCTGATCACAGCCGCTGCTGCCACCAAGTCCTACAACGATAGCATACTGCGCTGGGAGCAACTAGACGGAAGTGTGGACTTTGGCTTCGATCCGCTCTATCGCCACTCGCTGGCAATGTCCATTGTCTACTGTGTGGCCTACATCGTGGTGTTCGTCGTCGGACTCATCGGCAACAGCTTTGTCATCGCCGTCGTCCTGCGTGCTCCTCGTATGCGCACTGTCACCAACTACTTCATTGTCAACTTGGCCATTGCCGACATCCTGGTCATTGTCTTCTGTCTGCCCGCCACGCTTATCGGCAACATCTTTGTGCGTAAGTAGACATTCGGTTGGTATTAATACCATATTAATGTAAAAATGTATATGTTGACTGACGGAATGTTGTCGTCTTTGGGTGGATTGAAAGAGTAATTGGTTAGCTGTGGTACTATTTGATCTGATTGATTCATTAAAGGACTGAGTGGGATTAGCAATAGCCGCAAGAAAGTTTTTATGATGGACTGATTGATCAACAATGTTAATTATTGATTAATATATTCATAGCTAAGTGTTGTCTGTGTAGATGATGGACTTGATTGTCTGATTGATTCATTGTAGAATTTGTTGATTGAAGAATGCAACTAAGCCAACGTTAAAAGCTCTATGAAAAGTAACACGCCACAGTAGAAATCTCTATTGATTGAAGTGCGACTGCTGCCTGATTGATTGATTGGTTGATTGCTTGGCAGGGCATGCATGTGCACGGAATGAATAGTCTTTGATTGACTGATGATATAAGCTGAACAACGTTCTTTTTATTGTAAAATGAATCCTATACATCTCGCTTGTTTCTTTAATATTAAAATAATATCTATATATGTATAGCTATATGTCCGCAACTTGTATTGCCTAACTGCTAGTCGAAGATTGATTTGGTCCTCATTAGCACGTCTCAGTGGTTTTTTCCGTTTCTTCCATTTGCTTTTGTTTCGCTTCCTTTCCTCAGTACTTGTGCGAGCTACGCATATTAACCGGATTTATGTTCAGCAATTAATCGAGTGTTGGATTAGGTCCTTCGCCAGCGACACGTGGCGTATGCGCAATTTGTCGACAAGGCGCATCAAGCCTAATGCTCCCATCTTAGTGCTAATGCCAGCAGAATACTTCTGCTGAAATTAAGTAAATGAAACTGAAATATTAGCGTGCATTATCATCACGTTTTATGGGGCTCCCTGCCAAACTGTGGCCCCGCCCCCGTTTATCCGTCCATCCTCTGAGGGCACATTGGATTCTCTGTTATGCAATTACTATAAGTTTTTATAGCCTTGTAAATAATATAGGAAACGGAGTACGTCCGACCATAATGAGTTCATCTAACCATATCCGATTCACTCTTATCTAACTGAAAACTTTTGCCATGTTGCATGTCAAATACAGCAGACGAAAATGTTTGCTTCTTCATAATTGCAATCGTTTTCTGTGATGGTATTCGGCAGAGGGCGAAATTCGTTTACAAGGCTATATTTCAGCACTGTAACTACGAACAACTAATCCGTATTGCTATAGATTGTAATACTAACAGATTTGTGTATATGTGAAATATTAATGCACTAAATAAATTGATTTTTATTTTTCTCTTCTTTGCCCATAAAAACATTTAATATTATTAAATTATATTTATTTGTTTTTTTTTTTAAATATATATTTGAATACAAATTATTTATCAAATATAGAATATTAAATAAATATTTATTTATATAGATTTAAGAATAGTATATTTCATTTATCTATATATTTTACGAATTTTTAATACAAAAATTAAGTTATATGTTTTAATAAATATTTGTTTGTTTTTGTGGTTTTTATTTTCTTTCTAATACTTTGGATGTATATAAATACGTAAATATATTTGAAATGTTTTATTTATGCTTGAATTTCGCCATCTTTAGCGACTTACTCAAGTTATTAATGAATGGTTCGACCGAAATCAATAAAATGAATTACATAAATGAAAACGTTTTATTAGGGAAATAAGCCTAAGAATAGTTCAGGTATTATACATATACAATATAGATATATTAATATGATTATGTATTTATTTTAAGGCACAATACACTTGCCATTTGGCCCCAATAAACGAGGTTACGCATAATTATGAGGGTTTAATTTTAATAAATTTACATCGCCTTGTAACTTATCAGCCTTCTATAAGTTTGTGTGTGTTACTTGCTTGGCTGGTGTGTGTGTGTGTGAACTGTAAAATGGCAACTGGGTAAATGGACTGTCGCAAAGGCTGTGCAGCTGAGAAATTGCATGCAAATCGACGCCGACATGAAAAAATGATCAAAATCCTTCAGAAATCAAACGCTGATTGCAATGCCTGACATGTCAGGGCACGACTCCCGCTCACCACCCCTCCTTTTACTCCTCGTATATGCTTGTAAGTAGTATAAGTAGTAGCTACCCCAACATATATTCACCTGGTCGTATTTAGAGGCTCGCAGCTGGCGCCAACGTTTGCCAATTAAATGCGCCCGCCTTAGAAATGTTGCTCGACCCGAAGACATGCATGTACAAAGGTGGCCGGAGCGAGAGAGAGAAAGGGAGGGAGAGAGACCGACAGTGAGAGTGGGAGAGGGGAAAGAGTTGGTATAGTAAACCAAACGAAAGGCAAGAGACGAATGAAAAACTGAATGGGCTGTGTGCGAGAGAGCTTGTGTGTGTGTGTGTGTCTGTGGTGTAATGTGTATTAGTGCGCACTCGCGCTGTCTCTCTGTCACCCACTCTCCCACTCTCTCGCTCTCGTTCTGGGTGCCTTTTGGGGTGGCCTGAAGGATCATCGACACAGAACTGACCTAATTTCACAAATTCAACATAGGCGCAGGGTGCTGCGGGCTGCCCAGCTCTTAGTGGGTCACTCCGCATTTGCTTGTGTGTGAATGTGTGTGTATTGACTTGAGTTTGGTGGCAAGCACGGACCCAGACCCAGACCCAGTGGCAAACGCAGCTGCCACTGCATTAGGCCCAAGTAGCAACAACAATAAATAAATTGCGACAGCCCTTGGGCACATATTGAATGCTGGCTGCTTGGCATTTTGACTTGTGAACAGTTGCGCCACGTAAGGAAAATGGCCCAAAGGACGTTTAACTGAGAGAACGTCCATTTGCAATACCAAATTTGGTCAACAGGCATGATATTTATTTATTCCTTATCGCCCACATGTACACATACATACATACATACGACTCTGGCCAGAAGGGTTCACAAGGGGGGTCTTTAACGCTTTGGAGCTATCATTACCTAAGCACACCTCAGTACTGCAATGGAAGGTTGTTTTGCATTCAAGGACCTTTTCGCTGTGCGGCTGGCTGGATGAATTGACCTAAATATTTTGCTCGTCAGGGTTAAACTCGCTCGCTGCTGTGTGTGTACGTGTGTGTCGGTGTGTGTGTGTGTGTGGTTTACCTGGGCTGGGCTGAGCTGAGCCTTTATTTATGTGTGCTTCGAAAAACCAATAAAATGCGAATTGAATTGATTTGCCGAGCGATGCTACCTTGAGACGAGGCGTTACACTAGCATGTCCTTAGCGCATTTTCTAATTGGATTTCTATGTGGCAATCGTTCGACTCCTTTAGACATTAGCAATGCCAAATTCTTATCATTACGTGAGTGCTTTACAAATTGCACTGAATTGGCGAGAGTTTCCTCAGAATGTCTCAGAGAGGAGAGTCCTTAGTCAGCCTAATGATCTGAGACTTAGCGTAATCGATAAAACCATTATTTATTATTATTATTTATTTATAGGAATATTAATGAAATTAGGTAATTGCATATATCAAGTGTGATTATATGTAATTTTTAGCACAATGGCAATTCTATAAGAAATACAAATATTCAATCTGATGTTTTATAAATGATGAAATCATGGAAATGGAACATTTTTGGTGTCCTACGATTTTCTGAATTTGATGATTCGAAATTTATTTATATATAACAAGCACTGGCTGCGCGATTCGCACGTCGCACTGGTGGAATCATGTCACGTACTTTAAAGTCATGTTTGCTAGTTACTTCATTAAATAGCGACGACTGATTTGCGATTTTCTTGGCCCACGGCGCGTATGCGTAACGCGACTACTGAACAGTGTTGGAATGCTATTGGTGGTGATGCTGCTGCTGCTGTTTCTGATGAAGTAATTTTTCTTCACTTTCCGATTGTATTTTAATTTAGCTGCTACGTGCCGCCCGTGGCAAGCAGCAGTCGAGCGTTCCTGGATGCTGGCCTGAGTCCTGCGGCCTCTTCAATTCAATTTAGGACCAAGTAACAGCAGTCACTGCAGGACGTGACGCAGCAGCAGCATCAGCAGCGATAAACATAATAATAACGCATTTTCTTGAAGTGTTATGCGCCCAACCATGGATATTTCACGCCCATTTCAATCGAAGCGAAATCTTGACAGGCCACATTGTCGGATTTGTTCCACCCGATTATTTCATTAACTTTATGACCTCAGAGAAAGGATCCCCAGTACCCAGACCAACAGTCAGCGAAGCGTCGCAAACAATGCAAAACCGAATCCCATTAGTGTGGCCTACGATATAAGTTCGCGCAAACTTTTGCGCTGACAAGGCTCAGAAAGGGAGCCAAAACTTTTAGCCATTTCATTTTGCCGAAGCATGGAATACACTTACATAGGAAATAATAACTACAACTCTCAATAAGTGTATATATGAGATGAACAAAGTAATTAATATGTCTCTTCAATATGAATCTCTTTTTGATAATCCATATTCAAAGATATTGCGTCTGGAACTTTCGAGTATACTGCGTTACCAAAATTGGAATATCCTTAGCTAAAGGATAAAGAGTGAGCCTAAGGGCTTGGCTTGCGTTTAGCTGTTTGACATTTGCCTGCGGGTCAGAGTGCATCCGTCCAGGAGCGAAGGTCGTGGTGATAAGCTGTAAATATCGATTGGAATTATCAGCTGCAGTCTATCAATATTTTTGCGGCCATCCGCTTAATGCCTACAAAAACAAGCTTAAAGCAAAGTTCGCGCAGCATATGTTCCCAATTGGAGAATAATAAGAAGAAGAGCTCACTAATTCGAGCTGGACTCAATTTGATTGGGTTCACATTGAAACTTCGTAATAAACTTTTCAAAGAAGACAAACTTTTTCCTAAGCGATATATCAAACCGAAGGGCAACACCAAAATAAATAGCTAAATATTAATAGCAACGGATATAACTTGAATATATCACAGACTGTTGCACTTGAAGCAAGAAAACCAAAGGAATGAAAGTGCTTGACTAGCAGATACCTTCAGTAAAATGAGCTTAGAGAAACGTAGAGACATGTTTTTGGAAGAAGAGAGCCATGAAAAGAAACACATAAAAACATCACACCCCTTGTTGCCCCAACTACTGCGTATCAGAGTTGAGAAGAGTAACCAAAATCTATTTAAGCTGTTGTCCAGGGGGCTGTCAACTGTCCAACTGTGCTCATGTCTTTTGAGTGGTCGTCTGGAGTGTGTTGACTTGGTCAAAGCACACTAAGCGCACAGAAATAATAATAATATTTATATTTTTATGTGCCAAATCACATTAAATTTTTCGCTTTATTATTGGCTCGACGCGGCGGTGCACGGTGCGTATGCATAATATACAGAAAAGAGATAAGACAGGCGAACGAGACAGGAAATTAGCTAGAAGCCACACATGAGCATATATTTGTGCAGCATGCCTCTGACCCTTGACTGTGTGTGGGTGGGTTCAGCGAGGGGTCAGCGGTGGGGCTGGGGCTGAGACTGGGGCTGGTACATTGAACTCCTGCACAGAGTTAATGATGCGCTTGTTATTGTGGTTATTAGCACCTTTTAATTGCCATTCGATATGTCATGCCGCAAATACGTTTGCCACTGTCATCAACCTTGATGACATGTGCCACAGGGCAAAATTCCTTGCCACACCTCCCACCTCCCTGCTTTGGTGTGTGTGTGTGTGTGTATTTTAGAGCCTTTTGTGTCTGACTAAGTTATTTGCTGTTGGCATCTCAAGTCATAACTCAACAGCCAAAGGCAGCGCAACTATACACTGAGAGAAAGAGTCTAGTGTAAGGTATTCATTCTAAATTGGTTTTTGACAACTTTTCAATTGGATGGTTGGAGTAAAGAAGATGAGACAGTACTTAGAGAGGGATACAGAGCATCCAAAAAAGTTGAAAGAGAGTGGGAAGTCAAAAGGCGAGAATGGGAGATGGAGTTTTTGGCCATATATTTGGGAGTTTTGGGATTTAAAACTATGAATATTTAAATTTGCATTTAAGTTTTTAAAACTAAATTTTTTTTTAGATTGTACAAGGCTTTGTAGCTGAAAAAGAGAAACTTAGTTTAGTCGAAGAGTTGGTTATATGAAAATTATTCTCTGAATCCTTAATCCCCAAATCTCAATCCCCTTTTCCGAGTGTATTTTCTTTTACTGTAAATGTATATGTGTGCGTATTTATAGACAGTGCAAATCATGTCTTCCATCTTTCATCAAATAGAATAAAGGGAATACAAATTAACTTGGCCAGCTGAGGGCTGCTTGCTGCTTGCTACTTGCTGCGTGCTTTTGGCATCGTTGGCAAACAACGCCTCACGCTGGCTTCTTGGCAATCTGAGACTTGTCACCAAATTATGAATGATATGCAGAACATAAATCTCAGTCAGCAAACAACGATGTCGCCGACGTGGACGACCGACTGGAAAGAAGAAAAAAACATAATGCATTGAACGTTAACCAGGACCGCAAACAGGACTCCGGCTAGGACCACGACCACGACCACGACTAGGACAACAACAGGAGTACAGACACAGACATGACCGAAAGTTACTCAGCATAATTTTTGATGCTCGTTCACGATGTGAAGAAGCGTATATTGGCTTTTATGTTATTATTGCTCGCTTATTCAATAAGTAAAGAAGGTTTCGAGCCTCGAGTTTTTAATGTAAATATCTTTGAATCTGTATTGAATCCATCTCTGTTTTTAGTATGTGAGCGAGTATTAGACTATTGAGTATCGCCGGTTACAATCTTTAAGCACTGAGCACCTGCTCTAAGGTTCAATGCAGAAGGGTTTTAATAGTAAAATTCTTGTTCTTGTTCTTAATGTGTAACTGTGTATTAGGCAGTCGGCTACACTCAACTTATCTATTTTGGCACAGCTTAAGTTCAATAGAAAGCGACCCATTCCTCACCTATTTATATATCTTTTTGCAGCTTGGATGCTGGGCTGGCTGATGTGCAAGTTTGTGCCCTATATACAGGGAGTCTCGGTGGCGGCTTCAGTTTACAGCTTAATTGCCGTGTCGCTAGACAGGTAAGTCAGCCAACAAAGAAATGACAACTCTTTAAATTTACGTGGCTATGAACCTTTATTGTGGAAATGGAATTGGGATTGGAATTGGGATTGGGATTGATTGGGGGATGGGGTGGGGCTTAGGAGCGGGTATCGGGAATCGGGAAAGCTCTCTAATGGTGTACCACAACAGCGGGAGCAGCATGATGCACTGGTACAAGAGGCACAATGGGCTTCACGGCATGCACAGCGACCACAGGCTTGGCGACGACAGGATGCACCACCCTCACAGCGGCGGGATGATGCACAACATGGCTGTTGGATGTTACACAAGATTAATGTAATAGTCAAGTCAAGCGTCTTCTGGCTGAATTCTTACGAGTGCACCGAGTGGGCGCCGTGATGAATGATAGGTGAATGCACCACAGCGGGGTGCGCAGCGACAACAGGTGTATGCACCACTGGAGCAACAGCCACCACACCGGGAAGGGCATAGGCCTGAATAGCGGCGCAAGCGATGAGTACGAACAGCTGTAAAAGGGAGAAGTTGTTAGCTAATGGATCCAGCTACTCCAGTTCCATTTCAATATACTCACAACTTTGAACATTTTGTATGGGATTTTGTTGTTTGGGCTTTGGAGGATTTGTCAAGCTGAGCAAGTGATTCACAACTGTCGTCAATTGGTGACTCGAGTGCTGCTTTTATAGCAACTAGAGAGAACTGCAGCAGACTGCAGCTAATTGCAAAAGTGAACGCCGACTCAAGCTCAATGCAAGCCGGCTAGGAAAACTGGTCGCAGTCCGCCTCTGAGTTGGAGGCTGTCTCAAGATCAAGTTCAGAGCTCGCCTTGTCCGTATTTGGCATTAATCAAACTCATTTTTGTTTTATCTATGTAGAATGTTTGCTGATTTTGTCACGTTTGCCTTGGGCTGCATTTGACACGTTCTCTCCGTCTAATGTTCGCCTTGTGTTTCCTGCTGCAATAAAACATTTTTAAGGCGAATTGAGGGCTTCTGAAGCTAATCTAGGATATACCCTGTAGACAGCTATCGACTCGCTTAAACTAGGCTTTCAAGTATCCAATTCAATTATCTTGAACCTCTCCATTCAAGCTCAGTTTTTTCCACTAACATTTCCATTTGTTGAATCTTCTCTATTCATTGAAATTTATCCAAAAAAGTGAAAGGTTCTTAACTTACTTAGCGTCTAGTAGACGCTGCGCTCAATATAATAGTTATTGATTTCGAAGAAAGAAAAGATAATACAGAATATGTAAAGTGCATATTCAAACTGGGCTTAATTTAAGAGTGAATGAAGCATCCCAAGCATCCCATAGGTGGCAATAGAAGCATTGCGTATAAAAAAGATACGACAGATATCTTGAACTCAAATCTATGCGCATAAAGTCAGATATGCTGTGGCCAGTTGATTTATCAAGTGGCAGTAAAATGTTTTGACAACGTTTTGACGTGTGGCACAGCCCGAGCCACTGAATAACAGGACAATAGGACAACAGGACAACAGGACAGGACAGTAGTTGAGCAGTGGAGCAGTACAGCAGGATATCGAGGAGGCGCCGCATTTATGTGCAGCTTTCATTTATATCAATTTCTCAGCGACAGCTGCCTCAGGCTGAGCAGCAGAAGCTGCGTCTGCTGCTGTTGTCATTATTCAGCGAAATCCGAAGGAGAGGATAGGAAAAAGTAGCAGCAGCAGCAGGATACTATATCATTCGATCGTTTTGGCGCTTACAAGATTCATAGCGCAGGCCCATGCTTCATGTCCATCTCGTTGTGAGTTCTTTTGTATTTCTTTGTATTTTACGAGCGCTCGTAAAGCGATTCGAAATTTAAGATTTATTATCTGCGACATGGAACTTAAATCAGCACGCAATGTCCTGAAGTTAAGCATGTGTACATCCTTGCTTATCACTTGCTTAGCCAATGCTATTTAATTAGGGCTCTTAGTTTTATGGATATGCATTGCCAGCCTCTCAGGCTCCCATCCGCCCATAACATAAATATTATCACATGGATAAGCCAATGCGTGTGTGCGTGTGTGTAAGCCCGCATACTTGGGGTTTTATGCCAATGACTGTGCGGCTTTTGTGTTTGCCGCAATTTTCAAGCGAGTTGCCCAAAAATGTCAGCAGCACAAAAATATTTCTCATTCATTTGTCTTGTCTACTTTTTCCCCAATACCCTGTAACTGATAATGTGTAATGGGTATATTGTTATGATGCTCAGGGATGTAACAGACGGGAGGAGCTCATCAAATGCGTGAAGAAAGCGTGGATCTAGGTTGATCGATAAATATCGATATGAATCTCTATTCAAAATTTATGCCAAGCTTGAAAAAATAACTAGCTTCTGAGATACAGGGTAGCTGCCAGTAGAGTAAACAGCAGTTACAACATTTTAGCTTCTTGTTACTAGGGGAAAAGACCATAAAAGTACAAAACTTGGCGCTGTGATTGCGTGAGTGTGTGTGAGTGCATGACAGTGTGTGCCAATTATTAAATTTGTTCTTTCTTTATGGAAATTACTCGCTGTGCGCATAACTTTTGTCAAAACTTTTGTTCAGTCGGGGCAGCCTGGGAGCCCGACAAATGCCGTCTTCCGTTCAGCCATAACTCAGAATATAATCGGTTATACCGGTCACAGATCGGTCAGGAGACCCCATATTTGGCCAGCACGTGAAACTTAATTAAACTGGCAACCAAATCCCGCAGACAAATTATGTTAATGCAATTGCTATATCTAAATATATATCTAGCTTTCTTTATATATATATATATAAATATATATATATGCACAGTTTGTAGTTGGGTCTATAAATAAACATTATGACAATTTGATATTGGCTTTGAAAAGTTGTGGCTGGGCCCTAATGGAATTACCGTTGTATTCGTTATCAGCAAAACGCTTGTCCGCCCAGACGACAACAAAGTGGCCAAAAAAAGTACAATGGGTGCTGCAGCAGGGGGGGAAGGATGGCTGGGACGACTGGTAGGGGCTGAGCAATTGTGGCTGGAGTCGTGCCCTAGCCCCATAATTATTGTACCCTGAACCCAATGGAAATTTTTCCAAAAGGGTATACTGTTTTTGCTATATGTATGTAACAGATGGAAGAGTGAGTATCTGAATAAATAGTATACATGTCCATAAGTTCTTGATATGCAAGAATAGCTGAGTGCTTAGGGCGAACTAGAGTCATGAAACAGACAGACTTTAGAATTAATACATAAATAAAAATTAATATCTCCCCTATTACTGTAATATCGATATGTATTGAAGATAACAAGATGCAACTTAGTTGTAAACATGAAACGAGATTTATATATTTGAACACTTGAACCATAACATTAGGACTACCAAAGACATTAGCTTCCACAAATGGGTGTAAAATAGATTTTAAGTTTTGGTTTCTTATAAAAATAACCCTTCGAATTAGTGATCAGTTGGATATCTTGTAGTCAAGCAGTTTCTATTTTTGCCTTGTGGCTGGTCTATTGAATAGGATGCCATAATAAGTGGCTAGCACTAAGCCGAATGAAAACTGCCAAAAATGAGACGTGGCTCGGCTCAGTGTCCTGGAGGCCCGCCCGCTGCCCCACAGCTAGTTGTAGTTGTTGGAGCTGCTGCTCTTATTCAAATTACGCTTGATTATGGCAGGCCAAGTAAAAAAATGGGGGCAGCTCCAGCTGAGCGAGGGGAGTCGCACGTGTTGTGACGGGAGTTCAATAGACTGAGTTGTCGAGATTGGAAAGTCGAGCAGTCAGCAGAAAAAGGCTTAAGGATGCGTCGTCGCTGTCGAGGCATCCTGCGTGTGCGAATTAATCAGGCTAAGATATTTGCATGTCGTCATCGTCATCCCGATTGCCATTATCCTTGACGAGGTGCCGATTTGAGTGGGAATGGGAATGGAAATTGGGCTGGGTATAGAGGGGACGTCGCAGCATCAGCAGCAGCAGCTGTTGAAAAATTCTTTCTTGCAGGTTCATTGCCATCTGGTGGCCATTGAAGCAGATGACAAAGCGACGTGCACGCATCATGATAATCGGCATTTGGGGCATCGCATTGGTAACCACCATACCATGGCTGCTGTTCTTCGATCTGGTGCCTGCTGAGGAGGTCTTCTCGGATGCACTCGTCTCCAGCTATACGCAGCCCCAATATTTATGCCAAGAGGTCTGGCCGCCGGGCACCGATGGCAATTTGTATTTTCTGCTTGCCAATTTAGTGGCCTGCTATCTGCTGCCCATGTCCTTGATAACACTGTGCTATGTGCTCATTTGGATCAAGGTCTCCACGCGCAGCATACCTGGCGAACTGTCCAAGGACGCGCAGCTGGACCGCATGCAGCAGAAGAGCAAGGTGAAGGTCATCAAAATGTTGGTGGCCGTGGTCATATTGTTTGTATTATCCTGGTTGCCGCTCTACGTGATTTTCGCACGCATCAAATTTGGTTCAGATATATCGCAGGAAGAGTTTGAGATATTGAAGAAGGTAATGCCGCTTGCTCAGTGGCTGGGATCTTCTAACAGCTGCATCAATCCCATACTCTACTCCGTCAACAAAAAGTATCGAAGGGGCTTCGCAGCCATCATTAAGTCGCGCAGCTGTTGTGGAAGACTCAGGTGGGTTCGAACGTGGAGCTTACCAAGGGTGCATCTCACGCTGTATCTCTTTCTACTTCGTAGATACTATGACAATGTGGCCATTGCCTCGTCCACTACGAGCACTCGCAAGTCCTCACATTACCATCCACATAGCTCACGCAAAAGTCCCAGCAGTCCGGGCTTGAGGAAGACCAATGCCGTCTCCTACATTTATGAGCACAACTCTCTGCGCCGCCATAATCTGATGATGAAGCAGGACAGCAATTTGTCGCAGCAGATGCTGCTCAAGCAGGACTCGCATGGCTCTCGACAGTTTCTCATCAAGCAGGAGAGCGCGTGCAGCGATGCCTCCGGTAATAGGCGTCTGCTCTGCCAGCAGGATAGTAATGGCAGCAAGGTCTCGCTCTCCAAGCAGGATTCAATTGTCTCGTACATGGAGGCGCGGCGTGCCCAAGAACGTTCTGTGGACTCCACATTGACTCAACAGGACACCATTTCTATTGATTCGCGTCGGGGTGGCATAGGTGGAATAGTTGGCACAGGCGCGCCATCTTCCTTGGTGGACAAGCGACAAAAGTTCGTCAAGCAGGATTCGGTGATTAGCTTTGTGGACCAACGACCGGAGCCACGTCGACATCAGTTAGTCAAACAGGACTCGGTCATCTCGTTCGCCGACCAGCGACGTGGCCTGCTCCACAAACAGGATTCCCTGATGGCCAATCGGTCAGGCGATGCGCCCACTCATCATGTCTCCATCCTCAAGAAGACCGACTCACAGCTAAGCTATGGCACCTGTTCGCCCCGACGCAATGTGGAGCTTTACGAGTAGGCAACACCTAAATAAACAACTACGCGCACACTCACCCCAAAGCACACCTACACACACTCATAACTATATCTAGTATATAAGCTATCAACACGAAATATTTGAAAGCGAAGAGCGGAGAATAACAAGCGGAGAAGTCGTAGAAGGAGGGAGCAGAAAGAGGGACTGTGATAGAAGTCGAAGCCATGAACTGAGGCCAGGGGCACAAGTTGGACCAATTTGTTAACGGGATGAGCGGGCACAGCTAAACATAAAAATATCGTAAATAAGCTAAGAAAGTGCATAGGTAAGGCGAAGTTTGAATACCCTTGCAGAAATGGGGAGATAAAGAGATATATAAGCAATTTGATATTGCAGCTCGATGCAGATAATGGTTTCTGACTATGTTAGCAGTATGGCCAATAGAACAATAGATTGTAATCTTCTGATATAATAGAGATACAATATAGTCATGCGCTATTCGAAAATAATTCTTCCAGAGAATCAAGTCAGAAACTTTTATCGCGAAATTGTTCCTATGTTAGAATTCTGTCTATATACATATAGATGAATGACATGACAAGACCCTTTGCAAGGGTATAATACACATCCATGCTCCCTTTGTCAGACAACATACCAAAGAGAACGCGATGGAGAGAGGGAGAGTGAGAGAGAAAGAGAGAGAGAGAGAGTAACACGCAATGCACCTAAACTAAAATAGTTATTAGATGTTTTATACGTGTTCCAATAGTTCTATACACACAAACACACTCACAGCAGTATAATCGAACATATATATATATATGTATATGTAATATATATATGATATATACGTGCATCTAAAACTACTCTTGAATATGCCGTAGTGTTGGCACGCAGTTTTTAAGATTGTTTATACTCGTCTTCTTTGTTATTTATATCGAAATGCTGCTTGGCTTAAGACCGAAACACCAAAACATACGTGAGTGTTAAAGGGATGGCAATTTTTTACTAGCAGTCGTCGGCGGAGTCCTACTCAAAAGTTTATTTGGGTAAAAACATTTTCTACGAAAAGTGAAGAGTGAAAAATAAAACAAACAGGCAAGTGTCCAAGTATCAAAGAACAAACAAAACAAATTTGAGAAACACCGAGGTCTAAAGTAACGTACCTACTAAATTTTTGTATGAACAATTCTTACAATTTATATATTTACATGCATCTATATATATGAAATATATATATTTGTATTGATTTTGGAATAAGCAATATATATGCAATACACACACACTCAGACACACACGCACACACATACAGATGCATCTAACAAACAACAATAATCAATTTTATTAGAGTTTTACACAGAATGAGAAAGTGAGTCGAATCGAGATTAACGATATGGGGGTAAACATTAAAAAGCGCACAAAGCAGCAACATACGACCATTGGAAATGTTTACGTAGCAGTTGATACACATAAAATAATAATATATACTACTATTTTAATTTGAATTTTACGCGGTTTAGATAAGTACTACTTAAGTCAAGTAGAGGGGAGGTAGTCGGTAGAAACTGTCTGAACGGAAATTCGCACTTAGCGTATCACAAATACAAACAGTAATCGAATATCGAATATCGAAGCAAAACTCGCTAGGCTCTAAATATCAAGCATATGCGATAACGGTAACTAAAGCTGTCCGAACGAAGATTCGCACTAAACGTATCACATATAAAAACAATAATCGAATATCGAATATCGAAATACAGCTCGTTAAGTTCTAAACACCAAGCCGATAACGAATACGATAACTAAACAATTTTAAACAATGCCTAACTAATAAGCTATATAACATAACTATGGAGCTACAAACAGACATATATATCATATATATCGATATATAGATTTACATAACGAAAACTATGCAATTTTATTGTTAGCCAAAATTTTATAAATGTCAAGTAATAACTGTAAACAAAACATTTATATATATACAAAAGATAAATATATGAAAAGTATATACTATATACTATATATATATATATATATATATATATATATATTTATTTATATATATATATATATATATATATATATATATATATATATAAATAAATATATTCTTATCAAGTTAAAGATATATGGCATTAGGCGCTGTTCTCGAGGCACGCTTTAGACAAAAGCTATTTTAATCAAGCATTTCGTTTAAACAATAAGCATACAGCTTCAAGTTTCAGCAAGCCCAAGGTAAAACAACTAAGAATGCTGAATTCGGGCGTAACCGACTGCACAATACTCGTTTACGGTGATGAAAAGATCAGCAATGATCCACATGCAAAACTTCATGATGCTCTAATAGAAAATTTGAGGATGTCACCCGAAAACCCCTAACACGTTCTCAACACAAAGGTACATAAACTTTTAATCACTTCGTAAACGGGTCTAAAAGAAGAGAGAAGAGATTAAATATTTTCCCAGCGCCTAAGATGCAACTACAAAATGCATAATATATTTTAAATATATATATAAAATACACATGAATGTATTCCCATATATATTATAAAAAGTATATATATTTATAAAGGAATGTCGTTAATATTATTATTAATACTATGATTACACTATGCAACAGATTAAAGCTTATTTGTATTGTGCGAAAATCTAAGTTATTTTTATAAACTTTATTTTTTTTAACTTTGAATGAAACATAAATAAAATAGTTATAGAATTGTTCAAATAGCTTTTAAAATTGATGCGGATAGATAAAAACAATAAAAAAATTATGCAGCAAAAATGAACATTAAAAAAGACAATAGAAACAGCTCATTTATTTTGTAATAGTCAAAAAAAAAATAATAATAAAAAATAAAAAATCTGATTGTAAAAAGCTTGTTGCATAGTGCACGCCAATGTTTCATCATAAATAATAACAATGTTATGTATATATTTTTTTATTTATTTTTTTTTTCCAAAATTCACATAGTTATAAAAATAGTCGATATTAGTATTTAATTCATATGCATTAAAAGTTAAAATTGAACTTTAAGTTTTAAAATTACAATAAATTGATATATTAATATTAAAAAAATAAATTCACGTGAGATTTGTTTAATATTATTGTATGACAAAAATATATATAAACAAATAAAACAAAATCGGTATGTTATCAAGCTATACAATAATCATATATTCACATACATATATAACATCATAGCAACATAGCATACATTTATATATACATATAAATATATATGAATATCAATATATATGTTTACAGATATAAACTACAACTAACACCAAAGATACACGCATATTAGCAGAAATAAATGTAATAAATATTACCATATTAAACAAATCAAACAAAAATTAGTTATCTTTTGACATTTTTTAAAGAACTGCTGTTTTTCTACAAGTGTCTGAGCAGCTGTTGCCAGTTCTCGGAAATTTAAAGTTGTGCTATCGTTATCGGCGACAGACGATGTTTTTATTATTGTAACAAATACCAGTTGCTGCCCGTATTTAAAGTCAACATAGTTTAATTTAAATAGGTTATAAGTAATAAGCTTGACTTTACTTAAGTAAAATATGAATCGCTGGATAAATCGTGTTGCTGTTGTCACCGGTGCCAGTTCGGGAATTGGCGCCGCATGTTCTAGAGATCTGGTGGCAAAGGGCATGGTTGTGGTGGGCATGGCACGTCGTTTGGATAGGCTTCAGCAGCTGAAAGCAGAGCTGCCGACTGGGCAGTCGGAACGTTTTTATTGCCGTCAGTGTGACGTAAGTGTTGAGGAGCAGGTAATTGACTCCTTTGCCTGGATCGACGAAACCCTCGGTGGTGCAGATGTATTAGTGAATAATGCAGGCATTGTACGTCGTGCCTGCATTATAGATGAAGGCAATAGCGACGATCTGCGAGATATATTAAATACGAATGTGTTGGGTGTCAGTTGGTGCACACGCCAGGCGTTCATCTCAATGCATCGTCGCAAGATAAACGATGGACATGTGGTTATCATCAATAGTATAGCCGGTCACGAAGTCCCCAAAGCTAAAGGCTTTAGCTTGAACATGTATGCACCATCCAAGCATGCCATTACTGCACTCACCGAAGTGTTACGTCAGGAATTTCAGAACAAGGGCACTATGACCAAGATTACGGTGAGTACTGTATTATTTAGTTCTATGTATTAGGTATTGTAATGCACCTTAATTTTTTCTCATAGAGCATTAGTCCTGGTGTTGCCGATACTGAAATCTTTGACTCTAAATCTCCCGAGGTGTTAGCCAAAATGCCCATGTTACGTGCCGAGAATGTGGCCGATGCAGTCAGCTACTGTATTCAGACGCCACCCAATGTGCAGATTCATGAACTAACCATCAAGCCGATTGGAGAACAATTCTAAATTTATATTTGAATATATTTATTAGCGCCAAAACGATAAAAAAAATGTAATTCGTTTTGTTAATTTTGAAAATATATATCGACTGCTTCACACATCGAATGCGTTCATGAATAATTCGTAATCGATTGCATTACTAACATCGATATCATTTGCCAGCAGTCGTAGTTCGTGTCGGGTATTGTTTTTATTTTGTATTAATTTGTAAAGTTTCATCTGTTAATTGCTTAATTGGTCACTGTTTATTATATATTGCAATAAAAGTGCAAAACATTCTTTGTGGTACGCATAACCGCATCGGTTGCCCTGTGCTAACGAAAGCTAATTAAATTACACAAAGACAAAGCATCTCTGTTTGTCTGTCTGTCTGTCTACGTCATTGCTATTTTCGTACAAACACTACTATCTACCTACATATATTATGGAGCACCAACAACAGCAAACACCGCCAGTGGGAGAGGAGCAGCTGGACATTGAGGACAGCATGAAGCATTGCTTTGAGAACCTCATTGTCATCGATGTAGGTGCAAATTTGACCAACAAAAAGTATAGCCGTGATCTGGATTCCGTCGTTCAAAGAGCAAGAGACGCAGGTTCGTTTATTGAAATGTGATAAGATTTATAAAAAGACATGAGTTAGGTGCGGCAAATTGTCATAGAGAGCGCGTACACACGCATTGAAAAAGGTCAATCGGGTGATAGTCGATAAGCATGCAACATGTGTGTGTGTGTGGGACTGTGTGCGCGTGCGTGTGTGCCTATGGGAGAATGTGCATATGCTAGTGCACCATGTACAGTGAAAGCTCTGCTTACATTTCCCTAACCATCTTGATTAAAGCAAATAAAAGCCGTAGGTGCAATCCACATTTTTCATTCGTTACACACCTACCTCTTTTATACTTCATTTGCTTTTTCACGTTTATATAAGAATTATGTTGCAGTTGCGTTATTATTGATTGTAACTATTTTTTTCACTATATGTTTTATACTGTATTATCAAATATTGCAGGTGTTCAGAAACTAATGGTACACGGCACATCGGTCAAATCGAGCAAGGAAGCATTGCGTCTTTCTCGCATTTATCCCGACATTATCTATTCGACTGCTGGCATACATCCGCACGACTCAAAGTCAATTGTGGAGGAGCCGTCCACATGGTTTGACTTTGAGCATATTGCACAGGCGCAGGAGTGCGTGGCGATTGGTCCATGCGGCCTGGACTATCAGCGCGATTTCTCCGAGCCGGATGTGCAAAAACAGATATTTGCTAAGCAATTGCACTTGGCAATTCATCTAAAGAAACCTCTGCTGATACACGAGCGATCGGCTCAGCATGATGTACTCGAAATACTCGACTCGTAAGACGATCAAATATGATATTTGTATATATATATATTAAAACTTATATTGATACTCATTGCTTTGTAGCTTCGAGAATCTACCGCCTGTTATCATCAGAGGTTTCATGGGCACCGCTGAAGAGGCGCTCAAGTATCTGGATCGCAGATTTTATATCAGCTTGACTGGGTATTTGTGCAAGGATAAATCTGATACTGGCGTGCGCCGGCTGCTCGATAATGGAACGCTGCCATTGGACAGGTTGTTGGTGGAAACAGATGCACCATTTATGTATCCCAATACACGAGCTTCTAAGCTGCCGCAGCATGTGAAGAGTGGCATTACTGAACGCTCGTTGTTATATTTACACAGGTAAGATTTGCTTTCAAAGTGAATTAAATTAAACTTATATTTACGTATACGTTTTAGATATTGCACCTTTCAACGCAATGAACCGTGTAGCTTGCCAGCAATTGTGGAAATGATTGCAGCTTTTATGAAGAAAACACCAGATGAAGTTGCCTTGGCCACTGCATTCAATGCCTTAAAGCTATTTGGCTTGTCCTAAATAAGGTGCAACCATTTTAATATATATTTTTATCGAGCCTGAGATTCACACGATAGACTCACATAATGTGCCTTAAATACTAATCGAATTCAGGATGTGCTAAACCCTGACAACACACATACACACACGCAATCGAACTCCATCCACACACACACTCATACAACTACGACGCATTCGCATGCGACTTGCAAGAAAAACTTCATAATTCTCCCTCCTATATTATTTATATTATAACTGCGAATTTTTGTTTGTATGCAAATTTTGCAAACGTAGCCTTAAGTTGTTTGGTAAGCAATGGCTTTGTTTACAACCAAAATCGGTGCCAAGGTGGTGCCAAGTGATGCGAAGGTGTTGTCAGATACGCAAAATCAATTTGCGCCTGTGCTCCTCTGTTTCACACCATACGAAGCGTGCGCTTCGTGACTGTTAAAATGCTGCAGCTTTTAGTTATTTTCATTGTGTTAGAGTTTTTCGTACAGATATTTTGTCTATACTCCTAAGATGTCTTGTTTAGTTAGGATTCCTGTTTTGTGTACCAATCTTGTAGGTGTTTCATTTAGTTTTATAATACTTTTGTAAATATTTATTTTTGTTGTTCGTTGCGGAGATGATGATGATGATGATTATTATGGTAAACGTGATGTGATCATTTTATGAGCTAAATATTTATATTATATTCACATTTAGTTAGTGCTATGAGTATACATACACAATATATACATTTATATAATATATAAACCAACTATATTTTGTTAAATTTACATACATTTATCAACAAACATATATGTGATGCTCTATATACGTTGTACTTTGAACTGATCAACTAACGGAGGTGCATAAAAATGCGCTTTATGCCCTTTCGTCGCACACACACATACACAGCCTATTTTCCATTTGAATAAAGATAAAGCGAATTTAAATAAATCAAAATACAGCGGTTTTGTTGTGTGTAGACAATAGAATACCCTTTTGTGCAATATATTTCAGTACTTTACCATCTATTTATATATTTTATATATAATAACCTTGCCTTTTTATTTTCTACGTCAGCTATATAATATAGCAATTCGATTTTGAGGAGAATTTATATTTCACATAATTTAAAATATTATGCTATGTATTAATACAATCCGGCCGACTCTTGATATAAGCATGCTTAGAGACGGATCTATCCCAAGTTTTAAGCTGTTTGCAAGAAACAAAACGATGTATAGATATAATTAGTCTATGGCAACGGAGTTATTTCCTATGCGTTACATATTCCATGTTATAGTTACAATATCCCGACTCGGCAGGGTGTAACAAAACTGAGGTTCGAACAAATGTATTTTTGGTTTGATTGCAGCAACATGATTGCTTTTAAAAGCGTTGAATGTTTTCCAAGTCTTCGAACTGTTTCAGCCTATGTAAATTGTCCCACCATTGTTTGAGCCGATGACGCAGTATTAAGGCGAACCAAGGTGTCAATGGAGCACTAAATTTGGCTATCGCCCCGTCGATCTCTTCTCGTTTCAGGTAACGTACCTCGCTAACCTCGTTGGTATTGGGCTTTAAAGTGACATCCTTTTGAAGAAAAAGTATATAATCAATTTCATGCTCGCCCCAGACGCCGTCACCCTTATTTGCATAATGAATACGCGTTAGATAGTTAAAATTCTCGGGTTCAATCTCGTTTGTGGGTATGCCTAATTCGTAGTTCAAACGTCGTTGGGCCGCCAAACGAATGCCGAGAGCATTCGATTCCTGTCGCTCCTGATCAATGTCATGCAACGGATGGCTACAACAAGCATTCGTATATGTGTCTGGAAAAGTTATCTGCAATTGGTAGTGCAGGAATATTATAAGTGAATTTAATGTGGATTTCGGGATTTACACCTTGTGCACGGAGCGCCTTTGTACGAGCATCTCGCCTTTGGAGTTGAATAGAAACACACTGAAAGCGCGATGCAGTTTAACTTTGCCCGTTTCAGGTTGCACACGATGGCAGTCAGCCTTGGAAGCAGCTCCGATGGCCTTGTCTTGCTCGTCTACTAGGATACACTTCTCCTTTAAGGCTTGCGCTTGGAGAGGGTCATGTATTTCGATGTTCGCCTGCTTTTGTTGGCCTAATGATATGGTGCTGCATTTACGCATCAACCGCATATGTGACCAAAAATTTAAACGCGACGTCAACATTTTTTGGTAATTGAGGTGTTAATGACTAGCTTCAAATTGGACCTTAAACAAATATGTATAAAAAGTGAAAACGTCGTAATCGTATTAAATTTTTGGTGTTGCCAACTGACGTGTTTATGCTGGTGTTAAGCAACACTGGTCGCAGACAACAGCTGTTCGTCAGCTGCTTCAGCCCTGGCAATTGTGATACATACTTGCTCATAATCAGTTTTTCGCTGCGTCCATAGCTGAAAATTGTAAATAGCAGAGTAGTTACTTAAGTAATTACCATTACACATACTTTAAAATGGTAAGCATAATATTTATATTAAATCTGAGTACGGATATTCAATCGTTTAACATCTGCGTAGATCCGATTTATACTCATACAAAATCGTGCAGGCAAAACTCGCCTGGCCAAGTGGTATATGAACTTTGATGACGACGAAAAACAAAAATTGATCGAAGAGGTGCACGCTGTTGTCACAGTGCGGGATGCTAAGCACACCAACTTTGTAGAGGTAATATTAATAGTATTTAAATAGATACTTCTGAAATTCTACTAACTGTGTATCCCTTTACAGTTTCGTAATTTCAAAATTGTGTACAGACGCTATGCGGGTCTTTACTTCTGCATTTGCGTGGACGTCAACGACAATAATCTGTGCTATCTGGAGGCCATACATAACTTTGTAGAGGTGTTGAACGAGTATTTCCATAATGTGTGCGAGCTGGATCTCGTATTTAATTTCTACAAGGTGTATAGTGTCGTTGATGAGATGTTTTTGGCTGGCGAGATACGCGAAACCTCACAGACAAAAGTGCTCAAACAGCTGCTAACATTAAACTCATTGGAATAGACAGTTTTCCACCCACTAAATGATGCATTCCCCATTGCCCGCTTATCGAATCTTCATAAAATATAATATAATGTACTATTTATCTACATGTGTTCTATATATTCAAGCAAAAAACACTCAAATGTTAAATAATTTTTGTTTAGAGTCCAATGATTTATAATAAGAGATTATATTCAGAAACAAGTATTAAAGAATATTCCAATCAGCTTTCCTGATAATTGCATTGCATATATATATATATATATATACATATCTATGTATATATATATATATATATATATATATATATATGTATATATATGTATATATATACGAACGGATGGACGGAAGCATTTAGATTTGCTGGTGGTTACCGCCCCCTACAAAGTGGAGGTTGCCGATAAGACTGACACATGCAGCCCTGGTTTTTTACGTTACTCAACACTAAACTGGCACATTTGACGACACTCTACCACACTAATGCCACTTCGTCATTTTTTCAGTCGCCATTGTTCTCGTTCTCGGCTGTCGAATTTGTTGGAAATTATCGAATTTCCTTTAAATTCGTTGCAATAAATACAAATAGAAGTTAGAAAAATAAACAATTTTGGAATACACAGTGCACAGTGCGCGTTATATCGCAACAAAAAGCCGCCAACCGAAATAAAATACACCCGTCAGACTCGCCAGTTAACCGAGCAGCTTAAGCGAAATTGAATATTTCGTTCGTGGCAAAAAATAATACAAATTTTAACAAAAAATCACCCGAAACTTAAAAAATGTCATCAATGAATCCAGAATAGTAAGTTAATTGCGCGTAATTGAGGTGTATTGATATGTACAATGAAAAACCTTGTACTAATCGCGTTCCATAACCAGCACTGGTCACCTTTTTTTTTCATTCTTTGGTCGTTTCTGCGACGTCATTTTTGCGACGTCCACGACGACTCTTTGGTAGTCGCCGCAGCCCCACACCCTTTAAACGAAGAATTTTACTGAATATTAATGGCATTACCTAAAACAACATGCGATTCAGAATTGAGATATAAACTATATATTTGGTACAAACATATAGAGCATACATATATGTAGATATTTGTGTTTTTAATAATAGTGACACAAGTGGAGAAAACCAAGTTTTCTGATTGTATTTTAGTTGTTGTTTCGAGTGGCTATGAATGTTGCTGACAACCAACCAGCCAGCCAGCCAGCCCGCAAGCCCTTGCCTTCGCCTCTGTCTCCCGCTGCCGCTGCCGCTGCCTCTGCCTCTGTGTCAGCTTTGGCTGCGCTGTTGATTTGTGGGGCGGATGAGTCACCTGCCTAGCGTCTCCAACCCCCTCCCTAGTGCTCACATTGTTGGTGTTTGACAGCTTTACGCTGCGCTGTTGTCGCGTTGTTGTTTTTATTATTCTCTGTCGCTGCTGTTGCTGTTGCTGCTGCTGCTACGTAATCAATTTCCCATCTATGTTTAGTGTTTTATGTTTTCTTTCGTTGCGATTGAACTTGAAATTCTCTAAATTCTCATGCGTAGTTGAGATAGCTTCCTTTATTTATTTTATCATTCATATTACATAGTTTGCCTCTACATTTTCAAAAGAGGACTTTAACAACAGTAAATGGATTTCTCTTTTTATTGCAGCATAAAATATTTTTTAAACCAGACAAACAACTTTTCAAATTTGAATTGAATGGAAATTGAACATTAAGAAAAATACTATATTCTAACAAAAAAACTTTAAAAATATATCAGAAAGCTTTATTTTATTAGTTAGTTATTATGTGCATATATATATATAAATATATATATACATATAGGCATAAAAATGAGTTGCGTTTGCCTCTTAGCAAAACAAAAACAATGATACAAGAATTACTTTCGCTTTATAGAGCTTTCACTGTAGATGCAGCTGCATTCGCGGTGAAGCGTGAAAGGAACATTTATAAAGATTAGTTGTCAAACAATGAATATTAAAAGGTTGTTTCAACTGTGTATATGCGATAAGATAAGCAATTATAATAGAGCTGTTGCGATATGATTAAAACGCACATTTTTTCTACTTCTGTAGCGATTACCTTTTCAAACTGCTGTTGATCGGCGACTCCGGCGTTGGAAAGTCCTGTCTGCTGCTCCGATTTGCCGATGACACATATACAGAGAGCTATATCAGCACAATTGGCGTGGACTTTGTAAGTCTCCCCACATTCATAATTAATCAAATATACAATGTGACTCAACCCGTTATTTCTTACAGAAAATTAGAACCATAGAATTGGACGGCAAAACGATTAAACTGCAAATTGTAAGTAAGCCAAAAAATGGAGAGAAGAAATCAAAGCTAAATCATAAATACTTTGTAGTGGGATACTGCTGGACAGGAGCGCTTCCGTACTATCACATCATCATACTATCGCGGCGCGCATGGCATCATTGTTGTTTACGATTGCACGGACCAGGAGTCCTTCAACAATGTAAAGCAATGGCTGGAGGAGATTGAGCGATATGCATGCGAAAATGTTAATAAGTTGTTGGTGGGCAATAAAAGTGATTTAACCACTAAGAAAGTTGTTGATCACACAACAGCTGCGGTACGAGTGAAAATAATCTACTGAAAGTTTGTAAGCCAAATTAATTATTCTACAATTTGTTACATTTGCAGGAGTACGCACATCAGTTAGGCATTCCATTCCTTGAAACTTCGGCTAAGAGCGCCACCAATGTGGAGCAGGCATTCATGACGATGGCTGCCGAGATTAAGAATCGCGTCGGTCCGCCGTCCAGCGCCACCGACAATGCAAGCAAAGTGAAAATCGACCAGGGGCGTCCAGTGGAGAACACCAGATCTGGTTGCTGCTGAATAACTCTGATTGTGAATCATTATTTTATTATACAATTAAACAAAATTTAAATATAATAAATTAAAACAAAACAAAACACGGCGAAAATAATAAACATGCAAATCATAATTATAACAAAACAAGGAATGGAATTATATAATAATAATAATGATGCGTATTGAAGAGTATAAAAACAAGCGGACCTTTCTATGATACGGCAGTTCACAATTTTCGCAATTAATCACACACTCAAACACACACACAGACACAAACAGGATATATACTGATATGTACTACCCTTAACCCTCTGACTATTATAATTTTGTTTCTATAGTTCTGTTCATAAGTAGTGCAAAAATACAAAAAATATTTACAACTGGTGTATTAATTAACTTAATCTAAATTTAAAGTAAACTTAAGAGTTACCACAGCAGCGCGAAACAATACCGATAGCGATGACGATAGCGATAGCGATACCGATACCGATTACTATTAAAACTTATATCCTTTAACGAATTATGAAAACAAACAAAAATAAAAAGCAAACAAAAACTGCGTTTCTTGTAGCCTAGACCCTATATGTAGTTATATGTAGTTACCAGCTATATCTAGTTACCATTTTCACATCATCTTAATTGTTCAGTCGCCAGTCTGTCATATTGTAATTATTATGTAAATCAAAAAATGAAAAACAATTCTAGAATTAACAACAACAAATTTGTGTGAAAGAGAATCGCGTAGGATTTGTTTAGGCAGATAAAAAAAAATATATATATATGTATACATAAATATATACATATATAGTTTAATATTTGATGATGATGACATTGATTATGAGAGACGTTTAATAAAAATTTCATGAACATAAGCCGTACCACATTTATGGTCGGATCTATGGTAATGCTTAAACATCTTTCTGTTCCATCTATGACTCGGTCGTAGACCGACTTCTGCAGGCATTGCGTAAGTAATTTACGGCCTTCAGTCCACACACATTATTATTTTAGTTTAAACATCTATCTGGATCGTAGGCTAACTTCTATATCCTTTGCCTAAGATCTTCAGCCCACGCATTCCTTATTCTTCTATTTTAATATTTAAACTTTTTGAAATATTCAGTCGATTCCGGAAAAAGACCTCTCGAATTTTTTTCAGTCGTATGAAGAACAATTAATTAATGTCATTGTTTGTAATAATTGGGTTGAGCGGAAAAATTGACTATTTTTGATTTTTGACTGACTGCAACTGAACTATTTTTCTTTAGATTTTTCTATGGCATGGTTTTATAAGTTTCCGAAATACTCCCACGATTCCGGAAAAAGAATCCTTAAACTTTGCTTAATTTAAGAGTGTTACAAAACAAAGACAGAATATTATTTTGATTTCCAAAACAAATCTTTTCTAGGCGTTTATTGACTTCTTCTGAGGTACTTCAGTCTTTACAAATAAAATTTCTTCTATAAACTATGACTATGGACTAATGTGCTTGAATTGAACTAAATACAATTAGTGAGCTCAGATTATGCTAGCGTTTCGCTCCTGCAGACAGGCAGTCGTAACTGTGGCAGCCGTGGTGCCAATTATGGCGGCTCCAAGGAGTCCTCGCTCCCTCTCTCGTTCACCAAGTCCTATGGAAGTGGAGAGGCTGTTGCTGCGCCAGGTGGAGGAAGTGTTGCGTTCAGTGCCCGACGACGTGGATATGGAGTTGATCAGAAAGGTTGCCTCACGGCGTAGCGTACGACGTACCCGTTGAGCTTGTCCCGCATTGAGCACAGTGGCACCTTCTCCCTCCCCCTCACCGTTAGCATCTTGGTCCTGGCGATGCGTAGTCTGCCTTTGAATACGTCCGGCCAAAGTGGGATAATGATAATAGCCATGATGATGATGATGATGATGCGATCGCTGTCCAAAGCAACTCAAAAGCAGACGCCAAAAGCCGCTGCGAAACTTGGACGACATCAAATTGTAGAGTATTGGATTCATGGCCGAGTTCAGATAGAGCATGAAGCGTGAGAAGTACAAAAGATTGTAATAGCCCGCAATACCCAGCTGCTGCATATCTTCTGCGCTGGCCGTGATCACCCACAGCGTAAAGGCGCGAAATGGCAGAAGGCAGACAAAGAAGCTAGAGACAACGGCCACCAGCATGAAGATCACCTGCTTACGATGTTTCCTCATTCCATTGCTCTGCTGATGGCTGCTGCCCTTTGAGCTGGACATCTGCTGCTGCTGTTGCTGATGTTGCTGCTGTTGGCTTAGCTGATGTTGCGGCGAGGTGGGTCTGTGGAACGCGCTATTTGGACGCAGCAACTTGTACGCGATAGCTGCATACAGCACCACCAATATGCCAAAGGGAAGAAAGAAGAAGAGTGTGATGGTGCCCACAAAGTAGACGATGGGCCAAAAGCCATCAGCGGCCGTGGTGCAGACGGGGGCATCGGTGCCATCGCCATACGGCTCCACGCTGTAGCTGGAGATGGCGATAATGGGACTGCAAGAATTATAATCATATATGTATGTATCCATGTGCCCATAAAGATGTCTGCAAACTTCGAGCATTCCAAAACAAAATCCATATCTAAAACTATGTATTATTTGCTCAAGTTGTCAGCATTCAATCCAATCAAATTATCAGAACGGAAACGGAAACGGAAACGTCTGCTCTACACTATATGCATATTCGTATATAACTTTCATATGTACAAGAAATGATGTGAAAACTTCAAACTTTAAAACTTTACAAAGTAAAAGGAAAACCCTACGTAAACAAATTAATTGAATGGCACTGTGAACGCTCCGTATAGATGATGAATAAACATAACTGAAGGATATGCATTTAATCATTGGACTATCTGAAGTATTCGAATTTTATACTATTTACAAGCTCTATGTTAATAATTGAAATAATGGAATTATGGTTTTGTGAAAAGATAAGGCTGTGTGTTAATATAGCTTTCACTGCACTTGCATAAACGTACTATTTACAATTAATTGACCAGATTCTAATTAACAAAAACATATACATTGGACCACGCTTTGCATATGATTAAACAAATGTCTCCAGTTGTAATACAAAAGTGTTTATTTACTTACAAATTGGGCGCCTCTACTATACAAGGTAAGTACGTATATATATATTTATATAAATAATATAAATAGTTATGCGTGTGTGTATGCATGCGAACTGTGCATTGCTGAATTTCATTTGTGCCGCAAAGTAGGCAACACTATTTTTCCTACTTTGGGATGGACCCAAACAACGAATTGCAGAGAAAAGCGTCAAAGTAGAAGTGAAACTATGTATTTCAATACAACTAAATCATGTTGATCCGGCGTGCTGATGGGCACGCAAAGCGCATATAAAGCCATTTCCACTGCCATGTAGTTAATGGCGCTGCCACGCCCCCGCCCTCGTCTCAATCTCAATAGTTCCTGGTCTGTTTTGGCTGTCGCTGCTGTTATTTATCTTTGGCACATTCATTCGAGTTTAATAGCCCGAAAAATTGATTGTTTTTTGCGTGTGTGCGGAAATATGTGAAATGAAAGAAGCTGCCAGGATTTGTGCTCGGGTCCTGTCAACGTATTCAATGGCATCGATTATGGGCGTGGCATGCTAGCTAAGTGAAGCGTAAGTGTAAACGGGTTACAGACTATTTTTCATGCCTACACAGCTGCTCGAGCTGCTGCTCCTGCTGCTCCTTTGTTTCCTTCTACTGCTACTGTTGATGATGCTGCTGCTACTGCTGCTTTGCCTGCATCCTCATCGAAACTGATTTGCGGCTTTGGGCGTCGCTTGCTACGCAACGTGGAATGCTGAAGCATGGCCATGGCCTCCAGCTCGTTGCCACAAGGCAAGTGCAGCTCAATTTTTAAGCGCGTTCGACTAATCTCCTCACTGCTGCGTCGATTCGAGCTACGCGACAAGATGCTCGAGTTTGTGGCAGCCGTTGCATTCGAGGAGTTCGTATTGGTGCCCAAGCCCGTGGATTGTTGGCCACGGGATTCACTTGCATTGCCTTCCCTGCTTCCCAGAGTGAGCAGCTGCCAGAGCATTTGCCCCACATCGTGGCAAAGCCGAGCGAAGCCTTTACGAAACTTGGTGGACATCAGATTGTACAGTATGGGATTCATGGCCGAGTTGAGATAGAGCATGATGCGGCAAAAGTAGAGTAAACTGTAGTAACGAACCAAGCCCATCTCGTGCAACGTCTGATCCGTACTTAATATGATCCAGAGCGTGAACAGTCGAAAGGGCAGCAGGCAGATAAAAAAAGAGAGCACCACTGCGCCCAGCATGAGCACCACCTGCTTACGCGCCTTTAGACTCAGCTCCGGCTTGGTGGGTCGAGCACGCAGCATGGCGCCCTGGTTGGAGATAAGGTTCCGTGCAATGATGCCATATAGTACAATTAGCATGAGGAACGGCAGCACGAAGAACACAGATATGGTCATCAGAAAGAAACCGACGGTCGATACGCCAATCGCTTGTGTCAGGCAAACGGGCACCGATGATCCATCAATATACTCAACCAGCTTGTACTCAGCCACCCAAAGTATGGGGCTATAAGAGAGAGAGAGTAAGATATTTGGAGAGAGACAGAGAGAGAAATCACGTTGAAGGGATTGAATCAGTCTAACTAACTGTATACTAGAGACATGGAAACAGAGAGATAGGTAGAGAGAGATATGGAAATGGAAGTGGATGTGGATATAGGTATTACTATAAGAAAGATATAGAGAAGAGTAGTCCATACTCTAGCAGATTAAAAGAAGAGAGAGAGAGAAGAAGCAAGACAGAGAATCTGCGAGGAGGAGAGAAATAATGTGAATTGCATTGACAAACAAAAAACAGTCTTACAATATGTGCTATATGCGGGGAAATCGTGATGGAGAAAGAGAAAGAGAAATAAACACAAACATGAGACAATGAGAGAGGAAAAACAAGTCAGATCAAACAACCACGACTGTAAGTCTAAAAAGATATAGATCAGACGTATACACAGAGAGACAGGATAGAGAGAGAAAGAGACAGAGCGAGACACACAGCGAGACAAGGAAAGAGAAAGAGAGACAGATAGTTAGATAGTGACAGCGAGATAGATCACGGCGTACACACAATGAAAGAGAGAGAGAGAGATTTACAAGCTGAGTGTCATAGACGTATTGCTAGACCAAGGCAACAGGCGGAGCCAACTGGAACGTGCCTGCGCTTCTCTATGCCTGTGTATATGGCCTGTGGATATATGGGCGTATTCGGACAGATTCTTAGTTAGGCTAATTAATGGGCGCTAGGCGCCGCCAACAGCCACGCCTACCACCTATCGCCCACACAGGCGCACGCTGGGCAGGATTTTTGAAATTAAAAAGGGTCGTTGACCGTCCTTTGGACGGTCGCAATAACAGAAAGTGTCAATGAAATGTAAATTCTTCAATGATAGCCCACATTTCCGGATGCTTATTAAAGATGACAGCGGGCAGATAATGACAGCCGGACAGAGCACAATGGACCAGCCAGAAGCTGAGGGAGGCTGTAGAAAAAATCATGCAGAACCCAAAACCAAGCTCAGAGGATGTGTAATGAATGAGAATAAAGCAGAAAGGAAAGTCGTGTATGCGGGGCAAGACGTAACACTAACTGCCAATGTTTAGCATGTAAATGGAGAAGTCAATGTTAAACAAAGACCAGAAGCAAACACCAACAGTAGAAAGTAGTTTAATTCGGCACACCGAATAATGAATACCCTACCGTCTTTGCTCTTAGCTGAGTTAGTCTGAAAAGTACCCGACCTTTACGCGACAAATTGAAGATTGAAATTGATGAAATTGAGATAATTTCAATTTAAGTATATTATATATAATAGGTAATTTATTGAAACTATTTACAAGGATTATATTCAATTTTTGAAATACAGGCATAGTCTTTGTACATATATTCAAATACAATGTTTATATAGCTACACATTTCGTGACTCAAAATGAAAATACCCAGTGCAATGCCATAAAAGGACAGAGGAAACGGGCAAATGGAAAACAAAACACAATACATTAAAAATGGCCGCGATTGACACTTATAATTAATGAGTAAATGGAACTTAATGCCTGACTGCATAGATACAGCGCACAGAAATGGGAAATGAGAGCGGAAATGGAATTAGCTTTAGTATTGCCAATAATACAAGTATACTATATAAATGGGTTAAGTACAGCATGCGACAGAAAATGTTACGAATACCAAATTCAATATATCCAATAATAATCATAAAATGTGAGAGCTCATAAGCGAGCAGTTCAAAATACAAGATAGAGAAAGGTGCAGTGTTTAGACTTACCTCGTAAAGAGCGCAGCTATGCCCCAAGCTAGGACACAGATGAGAATCGCACGGGCTTTGGTGCATACGTATCCGGCCTTCAGTGGCTCACAGATGGCATAGTATCTCTCGAAGGATATGGCCAGAATGGTTAAAACGCTAGCATGGGCCACAGTCAGCTCCACAAAGGGCACAGCTTTGCCTGCAGACCAAGGGAATTAGAATAATATCGAAAAAAGTAGTAAATTTGAGTGGAGCCTACACATCTCGTGCCCCAGTACCCAGGTCTCTGGGCGTGTGTTCACCTCGACGAGGACAGTGGGCGTGCAGACGAGCAGCACCAGCAAATCGGCAATGCTCAAATTGGTTAGGAAAATGTTTGTGGAATTGCGCATATCTTTCGTCTTCACTATAACAATGGGCACCTGCAAAGGGAAACTAGTTAGTCAGGTTACTCATCTGTCAGTCAGCTAGTAGTCTGGCAGTCTGTTGATCAGTCACTAAATCTATCAGTTAATCAGTATATTTGTGAATCAATCTGTCAATCAATCAGAGCAACATTCAGTCATTCACTCAATCAGTCAGTCAAGCAAGAAATCAATCAATCATCACTTCGGCATTCAATCAGCCAGCAAATCAGATAGCCAGCCAACCAGTTAGTAGTCCATCAGCAAGTCGATTAGTCCGTTAATCAGTCAGTTAGTAAGCCCGTCGATTAGTCAATCAGTAACAGAGTTAAATAACCAGTGAATCAGTCAGTTAGACAGTAAAGCAAACAGTCAATCCAACTTCACATTGTTAGTTCATTAATTAGTCAGTCAATCAGTAAGTCAATCAGTCCGTCAATCAGTCAGTCACTCAGTCAGCCAGTTAGTCACTTAACCCGTCAATTATTCAGTTAGTCAATCAGTCAATCCATCAAGCTCACCATCACATTCCCGATGACGCCCAGCAGCATTATGATTATGCAGAAGAACATGGCGGTTGTGCGTATATACGACGGAATCTGTGGCAGCATCTGCTCAGCATCCCCTTCGGCGAACGCATCATCGGCGCTTGCATTGCCCTTGTAGCTGGAGTTGTTGTTAATGTTGTAATTGTTGTTGTTATTGCTGTTGCTGTTACTGCCGATGATGTGGTAGGCTGAAATACTATTAGTTGTGTTGTACGCGCCATGGTCGCCACGAGCAGCGCTACGGGATAACCCAGCGTGCTGCGCCGTCGTCCTTGTTGCAGCAGCATTTTGAGGTGTTTCAGTTGTTGTTGTTGTTGTTGCTGTTGTCGATGTCGTCGTTACTGCTACTGTTGTTGTTATTGGTAACAGAAGTAGCAGCAGTATCAGCCGCGGCTGCTGCCTGCGCCTGGCCACAGCTTGTGAGGCAGCAGCGACGCCGAGGCAGCCGCTTAACAATGTCGTCGTCCTGCGTCAAGGGCGTCCAATATTAGCTGAAATTTTCGACTTTTCTTTACATTTTGTTGCGAAAGTTTAGCAAATAAAGCTAAAGTTACAACAAAGAAGTTTACCATGCGAAAATTATATATGTACTTGAGATTAGAGGACTTCAAGGAACAGTAAGAAAAAGCTAGTTTTTTTCATGGTATTAACATCGTCGGGCTTTACCGTTTACGCAACGCCCCGCTGTTTGATTCGGCTTAGGGTCAGGCGAGTCAGGCACGTATCCTTCGAGCTATGCCACTTAAATATGCGTTAATGAAATTAAGAGTTCGTTAAATTTACGATGTCCGCTCCAGTTGCAGCTCCTCTACTCTCCTTCCGCCCGTTCTCCTGCATCGTTGCCCCGCGGCGACATTAAACAAATCAATCAGTGGGGCTTTGTGGTTGTTTCCGTCGCCAACAGCAGAAGCAGCCGCAGCAGCCAGCAGCAGCAGCCAATTGGATTATGTCCTGTGGTAGCAAAAGTGTCTGGGATTAGCATTTAAGTAGCCTATGGCAGCCTCTTACAACTAACCGGACATAGACCCGGCCAACTAACTAACGATAATGAGTGGAAAGTTCATTAGGCCCTGCCATTTACATAACATTAAAACATCCGGCCAATGCGATTAACACTACCCCCTGCCTCCCCTCCTTCGCTCCCCTCACATATACTCGATGTTTGTCTTTGACTAGGTTTTAATTGCCTGGAGGGTTGCCAGGTCTGCGTATGGGTGGCAATTTGACGTTGCTTTCAAAATATTTAGTTAAATATTTAGTTACAATACATTTAGTTATATATATTATTATTTTATACTGATTTATCTATTTTTATATATTTGCAGCTAAAACTATTCTATTTTGTCTACTGTTCAAGGAGATGACAGCCCTGGCCGCAATCTCCACTCTTGGCTAACTGGCGATTATCACTAGACCCTGCCACATCAGTCCAAATGGCTTTATTAAATCCCCATTTTTGCGCAAGTCTCTAAGATGCTTAATTGTATTACACACACACAAACAAGCAACGACACACAATACACTGTGAACAGGACAGTAGCCGGGACTTCCGTTTGCTTGTGTCTGCTCTATGCAGCGCTGTTTTGATTAATTTGATAAATTCATTATGTGCACACCATATTGGTTATGTTCCGGCCCCCGCACTCGTTGCCCCTTGCGAAGCAGATTCTGATACGGATGCTGTTTCGCATGTCCTGTTGGCCAAGCTGTGTTGTCCTGTCATGCGTTGTCCGGAGTCTGGGTTCAATGTACCCAAATGACATAACAAGGCAGTTTGTGCCCCATTTGGGTTAAAAATGCGACTTTAACGATGCTGACAATGGCCATCAGGCGGGCAGAGGACCCGGCACAGGAGTTGCTCCAAGAGTGAGTCAGTGCAGGACAATGAAGCCAAATTGGCCAAAGGACAAAGAATACTCGAGGCTTGTTGACATTTTATTCTCGCATAATTGTTTTTAAAACTTTCTCGAGCAGAAAGACAAATGAAGCGCTCAGAAGTTCTCAGTTTAGTTCTCTCTGTGTGTGTGTGCATATTTAGGTGTATGTGTGTGAGGGCTATCAATATTGGAAATCATAAATACTGAAAAGCAAACGTGGTACTCTGCTTGGACTCAATTACAGTAAAACTTTCATGGAGAACACAGCTGCCAGAGAGTTACGACTAAGGGTGTAGCGGAGGAAAGGAGCAAAAAGTTGCAGCTAGGGATGGCAGAGTGACAATTATAAACAAGACTTAATATAACAACTATTCATTAAGTGAAGTATCCCTTTTCTTATTTAAATTATCTTGAAATCCAAGTTCTTAGATTGATCGATCAGGAATATATTGAATATCAAGTCAGGTATATACCTTTTAAGAATTCTTGTAGTGTTCAGAGTACTGGAAAACTGAAGAATAACAATAGAGAAATATTTGATAGTTTTAACAAGTTTTGTTTTCGATTTCATTCAGCAAACCACTCCGAACCCTTTACATGTTCTTGTTTGGCTTCACTTTTCGTGTTATCGGTTTGGTATCATTCGTGGCATGCGTCACGCTTCCATCTCTAGTGCCAAAAAATTCGACCACAAATACATGGATTGAACGGCGTGCATGTAAATCTCAAACGGTTTATGGTTACGACCAAATCCCCACTGCTTACATGCGGAGCGTGTTGATGTCGAGTCGAGTGCGAATAGCTGCGGCACTTTGATGGATAACTTGTGGCCTACTGCCCAAGAACAGGTTAGGGGTGGCTACTAACACACACGCACTCATACATACACCCCAAGAATTTGGTATAATTTAGCAGAGATTTGAATAAGGTTCAAAGCTGTTGATGATAATGGGAATTGAGCGCTTTTGGCCCTTTATTTGATAGTCTATAGCGTATAGTATATGCCACACTGCGAAGCATGTGTGTGGATGTGTGCTGAGTGTGTTGTATATGTAACGCTTTTTATGGTATTTAAGATTGAAGGCAATTTATAGCTGACACCCTAATAAAATTAACATTGAAATGACAATTTGAGGCAGCAATAAGCATCAGCAGCAGCAGCAACAGCAACAGCAACAGCAAGTGTGCACATACACACACACAATAAGATATATACTGTATAAATAAACGCATATATAATCAATTTATCGTTCAATAATGGCTCGAGTTAGTGGGCCACTTGGCAGGCACTTTGACAAATCGCAGAGTTGGCTTAAAAAGTAAAACAAGCAAGTGAAGGTATCTGCGGTCTGATGAAGATTGAATACCCTGCCGCACATTAAACACATTTGTTGGGCTACGACAAAAAATGAAGCTATTTATCATAAGGTAGCTGAAAGCATGTTATGTCAAAGAAAGCTAACTCTGTTGCTCAGAAAACAAATTCAACTGGTCGAATTGTTTTTGAGAAGTTCGTGGGACACCTCAAGCAGATTTCTAGAGTTAGAGATAAATAATTATATATAGTTCTTGAAGCGACAACCCTAAGTGAAACGTGAGCTGAATCAATTTGTTGCAGCTGTGGCTTATGAAAGAATCAATTTCAGGGTGTTGACATCTGACATCTGGAAGAAACTTAAACTGGCTCCCGTCCAGACTGGCAGGTTGTAAAAAATGAATTCACTTTGAATAAAAAATCGACAATTGAAACGAAAACGAATCTAAATTGGAGCTTTGAATCGGTTTGATAAACTTTCAGCTTGTTTTAAATTATATATTTCAACATTTACTTAAAACAAACAAATTGTTAATGCCCACTACAACAGTAACAAAATAATGCAAGTAATAATATAAAATTAAAGCTGGAAGAAAGTTAATTTTAAGCACTGGGTGAAGCCGTGACTTTAATGAGTCGCAGGCAACTGGCCTGTTCCCTTAGTTCCACTTCCTGCTGCCATCTTTAGCTTATTCCTTATTCGATTCTGACACCCTCGATTTTGCGGCTTTATTTTGTTGTTGTTGTTGATGATGTTGATGTTGTGGGGTGGAGTACGCTAAATAAATTGAAATGACTTCGTAATTGTATTTGTGACTCGAGCTAAATTAATCTAGCTAGTTGGAATGCCAGGACAGCGCTCGTGTGGAACCAACAAAGGATACCCAAAGCACTCCTCGACAAAGCGCCGTTAAAACCTAAAGCTTCTTTTTCAATTGGAGCAACCGAGTGGTTGCGGTGCCTCCCAGTGTTGCCCGTGGCTGATGGGCTAGAAAATTGCTTTCAGAAAAAACCCTTAAATTGACATATCCCTGGAACAGATCCTGGTAATTGTCCGTTGAATAGCAATTAGTTGAAACTATTTCCGATATTTGTTGTGGTGCGCGTTTCCCGGAGTTTGCGCCCCTTGGTCCCACGCCTCAATACTGGGCTATTGATTGAGTTTGATTAATTATTTATAGTGAGGGAAAAGTATTTCTAAGTGAGCTATATATATACATTTTTTTATAATTTTACTGCGCTATTTTCATTGTATTTTCATGTCTTAAATTCCAGCTGAGCTCCTGGGGAGGCATCCCTTGCAACTGGCTGAGAATGTTTGCTCTCAGCTGCTGCCACTTGCGCTTATTTATGTGAATTTTCTGTCCAGCCTGAGATGCTGCCTGCATCCAGGCCAGCATCATCTAAACCATCTAACCCATCTAACTCGTCTCTGTTTGCCCGTTAAAGTAACATTTACAGCGAGTGTTTGGGTGTTTGTTCAACTCTCAAACAATGCCATTGTTATATAGTATACCTAAACGAGGTGAGGTCGAGATATATTGGAAAATATTTACTCGAAGGAATAGATATATTTCAATGTATCCATGAACTCTTTAAAAATCTTTAAAGTTGGTTAAATACAAATAGGTAAATTAATAGAAAGCAAATGAAACTTTACAGTTTAGTTAAGCCAATAAATTTTAAGTCATTTACAATTTAAGTTCTACTGAAACTTTCCGAACTCTTTGAGTACACCTCACATAGCAAAACCCACATACAAGAGCAAGGCATTCCATAGATCTTCATATATGTACATACATGTGATTGTATTTGGTCGTACAACTAATGTGCTTAGCCTTTCTCTCTCTGTATTTCTCTTTCTATTCTTGGTCTTCGTCTTTCTTTATCGGGGAGCGACAATTCGTTTGGCAGCGTTTTTAACGCGAAAGTTCACTTAAAGTTGCGCATACGCCGCGGCTGCCACGCCATGTGAAGCTGCATGAAATGGTATCCTTTTGCTTGTGGCCATGTCGCATTGTCAGTATTTAACGTGGCTTGGTATTGATAAGGCATTGGCCTCACGTCTGCCCCCGCAGGCAGGCATTTTATCGCAACCAAGTGAGTGGGCAATGGGAGCGGTGGCGAGGGCCTGTTGAAAGATGCGACCATTGCTGCGGGCCGGGAAACTCGGCAGCTGCTGTCGCTGTCTGCAAACTGTTTGTTTATTTGTTAGCTATGAGAATTCATACAGTCACCCCCACACACACAGATAGAGGAC